GTCCCCACACCCTCAGGGCCCCCCTCCTCAGGGCCACTTAACTTTCTCCAGTGCCAGTGCTGGGGAACTTTCCACCCCCTGCCGACGTCAGATCTGAATGCGCATCTGCGGCAAAAGCCTCGTGCGCATTCAAACTGCCCATAGGAAAGCATTACTCAATGCTTTCCTATGGACGTACAGCGTCTTCTCCCTGTGATTTTCACAGTGAAAATCGCAGGAGCGTCTCTAGCGGCTGTCAGTGAGGCTGGATTAACCGTCAGTGACACCAGTGTGAAGCAATACATACAAATTAGAATTAGGATGGAAAAACAAATATGTTAGAGAAAAAAAACAGAGGAGAAAATCATGATACAATACATTTATGAAAACACTAACAAACAAAAGTGCACATAAAATTGAGATATGTGCAGAATAAAAAAAAGGCTAAAGGAGTTCTACCTCCCAGTCCACCTTCAGGGGCCAGAAATGCATTCTGCAGTTCCAATGGTCACAAATTCCAAGATTTCAATTTTCCTTTGAGGAAGTTGTTACTCCTGAGGAAGTCCCGAGGTTTAAGGGATGAAATGTGTTGAGTGAAGATCTGTATGTTCCAGCAGCCAGTGGCGATCTCTTGCCCAGCCTCTCATTGCTGTGCATGTTGGTACAAAATGAATGCAGTGTTTTTGCAACATTAATGTGCATGTGCCTGGTGCATGATTGACAGGATAATTCACTAAAGTCCGAATGGAATGCAAAATAGGGACATTGTTCACACAGTTTACCATGTTTACCATGGGAATATCCCTGTGGCAAGTCTCGAGAGCAGTGAGGGTTGCCTGTCAGAGCGCTAATTGGGTGGCTTACAAACCAACCATTCAGAGCGCTCTACTGGATACTTTCTGCCTTGAACTTATGCTGTGCAGTGTCACACGGCCGTACCGGGACGGCCACATGCAAGCACCCGGCCAGCGTGATCGTGTGTCCGTGCCCGAATAGCGCGGACACATAGAGAATATACTTACCTTTTGCTGAGTCTCCCACTGCTCTCCGTGCTACATGGCCGGAAGTTGCACTGGTGTTTCCATGGACGCCGGCCGATTCCACAAGCCGCAATTGAAGGGAAAAGACACAGATTGTGACGCTGGAGACGCGGATGTGCGTGCATCATCACGTCATCAACGTGCACGCATGTTTTGGCATCACCAGGTCCCAGCAACCAATGAAAACCCTTCTTAGGTTATTTAAACTCACTTTACCAATTGTTTAATGCCCTGTCGTGGTTTCCATTTTGCGGTTTAGCCAAGACCACGTTTGTTTCATGTATTTTCTGGCATTTTGACCTTGACTTATCTTTGACTATTCTCCCTTCTGATTGTCCTTGACCTTTGGCTTTTCCATACATTTATTCTGAATCCTGTATCTCTGACCTAGGTTTGTCTTGTACTATTCTTGGTGTGTTTAATCCAGACATTCTAAGTTCTGGTAATAGGCTTATTGTTCTTTTAGTATTTGCTTTCCTTGTATTTGCCGTTTCCTTGTATTTGCCATCCGTGACATGCAGAACCCTCAGGGGGTTAATTTGAATTATTTTTGTTGTTGTGCACTTTTAATTATTATTTTTTTTGGGGGGGGGGGCAGAAAAGGGGGTTGTGAGTTGCATTTTTATTTTTTTCAATATTTACATTATTGGGGGGAGGGGGCTTGGCATTTTTTGTGCCTGAAGATAAGAAAATGTAAGAAGAAAGAAGACAATCTGGTAGTAAGTATATCTTTACAGGTATTAGGTTTCTTTGTGCCACTTATCACAATGAATAGGTGAATGGATAGGTAGCAGTGGCATACACACTATCCATCAAGCCCCTGGTGCGAAACTGATCCATGGGCATCCCCCGACAGACACCTACACACAGACACACATACATACACATAGAGACATATACATACACACATACACACATACATACAGACACATACATACATAGAGACACACACACATACATACAGACACACATACATACAGAGACACATACATACAGAAGACACACATCCATACAAAGACACATACATACAGACACACAGATACATACAAGCAGACAGGCACAAATACATGCAGACACATACAGACAGACAGACACACACATACAGACACATACATACACACATACATACAGAGACACACATACACACACATACAGACAGACCCACACAGACAGACACACGCAGGCAGAATCAGAAACACATACACACATACATACAAACAAAAACACACACATATAAAAATGTTTAAGTCACCCTCCTGTTTCCTACCTGTTAGGTGCAGGAGGGTGACTTTCCCTGGGGTCCGGTGGTGGCTCAGGCTGGTGGGAGTCAGAGTTCTCATTCTGACTCCTTCACCTCCTCTGATAGCTGGGAGGAGTGACGGGAAGTCACTTTCTCCCAGCTGTGATGTCATCAAAGGGGGCCTGGTCAGGCTGTTAAAGTGCAGCAGCGCTGACCGGGGCCCCCCTGGAAATTCATCTTCCTAACAGCAATGGGCCCCTTGAGCATGCGGCCATGGCGGTTTGCCGCGCTGCAACACATGGCGGCAGGAACCCAGTCGTAGGGGACCGCAGGGCGGCCGGGCCCCCTGAAGTGAAAGGCCCAGTCGCAGCTGCGACCCCTGTGACCACGGTATGTATGCCACTGATAGGCTTACTTTTAGTTACAGGTTGGCTAGGGGACCCCTTGCAAATGCGTGGGGGTAATTGTCCATAACGTGGAGGAGTGGACAATAGCATGTTAACACCCCTTATCACATTTCCACCTGAAGCCCATGGGTTGGGGGTGAGCAACATCATATCCACTCTCTTGTTACTAATTAAACAGCCACAGCCATCACACGCAAGTGGGGCCTAGGAGGAATTAGGTGCACCACTGCTTATTAAGTTAATAGCCCCACCCACCACATATGGGGACACTAATCCAGCCAGTTTATTAAGTAGTCCCCACCCAATGACTATGGTTTGGGGAGAAAAAGGACATTAGTATGTCCTCCCTATTTTTATTACTAGCCACTGGCCATAGGTGAGGGCAGGGTGTGGATATCTACCCACCTTTATTTAATTTAAGGCCCCACCCGATGCCCAAAGGGACCTTTCTAATGATTGGGAAGCTATATCCGCACAGTTGCTACATTTTAATGACAGTGAGTAGTCCCTAGCTGCTTACTGCTTATTAGATATATTCCCACAAACAACAAGGCAGATGAGGTCATAAGGGAGGTTTTTAACTTGCCTTATCCTAATAAGGGAGGTTTCTAACTTGCCTTATATTAATATGAGGTTAATTTTTACTTTCTCAATGTTGTGGTTGGCTATCAAGTGTTTGCCATCCTCTACATGGTTAACCTTCACACTGATGAGTTGTTGTTTTTTAACTATTTGCTCACTGCGTGCTGGCGCTGTCAACTTGCAAATAGCAATTCAAATGATCATTAACTTCTAAAATGCAAATTGGTGCTTTGTATGGATTCAGAATTCTACATTTTGTATAGGGCTTGAATGCGAATGGGCTGACAAAATTCTGACAAAGATTTGGGTTAGTAAAAAAGAGAGCTGCCATTCCGGTAAGAATTTGACCATTTTTATTGAATTTTGTCAATGCAGCGTTAAAGGACCACTATAGTGCCAGTAAAACAATCTTGTTTTCCTGACACTATATAATCCCTAGATCCCCCCCCCACCCCTTCAGCCACTTATCTTTATCCAGCACCAGGCTCCCTCAGCACTGGTGACCTCTCCTCCCCCTCCGACGTCAGCTCCCGAGTGGAGCCGAATATGCATGCGCATTAAAAACGCCCATAGGAAAACATTTCTCAATGCTTTCGTATGGACGTTTTTCATGCTCAATGCGATTCTCGCATTGAGCATCAGGGAAGCGCCTCTAGCGGCTGTCCGGAAGACAGTCACTAGAGGCTGGATTAACCTTGCAATGTAAACATAGCAGTTTCTCTGAAACTGCTATGTTTACAGCTGCAGGGTTAAAAGCTGGGGGACCTGGCACCCAGACGACTTAATTGAGCTGAAGTGGTCTGGGTGACTATAGTGGTCCTTTAAATGAATTACCCTGTGAGTAAATACTTCAGCATACCGAGTATAGGGTGTTTGTTCTTTAAATCCAAATTTTAGTGTATTAAAATATGAATTCCAAGACTAAGGCCAAAATAGTGGTGCTGTGACTATAGGTCAGCAAGAGATTTTTTTCCAGATCTGCTAGTTTTGCTTAAATTTTGAAATTCATATTTTAATTCAGTACAATTTGGAGTTTAGTAGAGGGTTGGCTATTCACTTAAGTGGGAACTGCTGAGAATTCAAAGTAAATATCAAATTTAGGGCCATATAGCCAAACTGAACACATATTGACTTGGAGAATTCTTGTAAATCGCCTATTGTGACTTAGATTTTGAAAGTCACTTAGTATTCCTGACGGTTCTCACTTTAATGAATAATCTTGCTTGTGTATGCTTCCTGGTACAAGCTAAATCTAGATTGTTAACACACCAGCTTTAACTGGACGTCGTACTAACACATGGAAACCCACTATTAGTACCAGCATTCCAAATGAATGGTAGCAACACAATGTTCCAGAAGCACAGTGAGGCGTGCTTCCCATTATATCCATTGGGTGGCGCTCACCTTTAACTTTTCTTAACACCATGATTGATTTAAAACAAACGTGCTAGACACGCTGAAATGACGCCACAGTAAACCCGGCCTGGCAACATGAACACTTTGTCACCCCCTCCCTGAGACCTAGTGAGACTCAAGGTGAGGAATTGCCAAGAAGGAGTTGCTGGAGGGGAGGTGTTTGCCCTCACTGCATGCATCGGATGGGGCTGGCTCTCAGTGAGAGAGTTTTGGGAAGCTGAGGCTCTGTTATATGAGATGGTAAGGGACTGGGCTGGTCACCTTTCTCATCATTATCATCAACACAGATCTACACACAGACTGGACGGTACCGGGGGATTGTGGGGACTTCCCTTCATGGAGGCGCTGCAAGGTAACTAGGGTAACAGTAACTTTGTATCATTTCATGGAATGTCTGGGGGATCTCTGAATCCGCCCCTTTCTGTGGAGAATGGTTTCAGATATTCGTTTGGCTGGAGATATAGTGCACTCCCCATTTATAGCATAATATAATTATTATTTTATTATTTATATAGCGCCATCAGATTCTGTAGCGCTGTACAATATTTTAAATATTTAACATGTTTTACAGTATCGAACCTTGCATCATAATTCCTTATTATTGAAAATAGCTGATCAATGTTTATATATAATATGGTTTACACGGTCATTTTTGCATAAGGTTTATACTTTAAATTCAGTTGTGAATTATCTTCAGTCCTGTTAGGTAGAAAAAAAACTGGATGCTGTTTACTAAACACGGAGTTGTAGTGGCTTGAGAGAAATTTGGAGATTGTTTGTTTGCCTAAATATTGCACTTGTATAAGACAAGTAAAACACAAAACACCTGGTAAGCAGGTATTACAAGCAGCCAGTTCAATGCAAGTATAGGTGCACAGTCATTGTATACCTGTAGTGCATTCTTTGCAGTACAGTCTTCCAGTGTAACGATAATAAGCATCTAGACTAGGAATATACTTCACAAACCTATTGTAAGGTGGGCTTGTGGTTTTTGTAACGATAATAAGCATCTAGACTAGGAATATACTTCACAAACCTATTGTAAGGTGGGCTTGTGGTTTTGGAAGAATGGCACACTTTCCACGAAAGATCAGCTGGTCTTTTATGTTGGGGAGTGTATGGAACAACTGCATTCATTTTGTTTGTTTAACCAGCAAGGAAAAATGTGTAATTTTAGACAGAGAGGAAAAAGAAAATGCTATTTTGGGAAGCATTTTAAGATGTTTCTGCTACTTTTTAAAAACTGTTTATTGCAAAACTTTAATAAGAAACTCTTTCGTTGTGTTGGGATGTATTTTTTTTTTTTTCTCCTTACAATTCCCTTGGAATATTTCAAGATTATTCTAAATATTAAAGAGATAATTGTTAGGACTTCAAAGTGAATTTTAAATTTAAGGCAAAAATAGTCAAACTGGAAATATTCTCCATCTGCTTTGCTTCCAGTTCTATTACTTTGACTTGAAGTTCAAAATTCATTTTAATTCAGTATTGGTATGCCTGTACTAGATCTAACTCCAGTATATATGGAATACCACAAATTAGTGCACACAAGCTAAGGAAGCTAGTCCGTAAAAGCAGAATTCACCTCTAAAATGAAACTACGTACAGTTGAAAGGTTACTCCAGCTTTATTTTAAACGTCCACAATAGTGCTATAAATCCATTAGTGGGTATATCTCTCTAAGATCAGGAGTATCTAAAATAGGCAACCTTCCGCACTCCAGATGTTTTGGACTACACCTCCCATGATGCTTTGTCAGCATTATGGGGGATGTAGTCCACAACATTTGGAGTGCCAAAGGGTGCCTATCCCTGATCTAAAAGGTAGATCCCTACAGTTTCCATGATGCTTTGCTATTCTAAAGGCATGAAAACCGTCAAGAGAGTTGTAGTTCTTTTGGGCACCCTGCTCTAGGTTCACCCTAATAATGGGTAGGAAGGTGAGCAGGGCTTTGAGAAATGGTAAAGAGTGGTTAGGAGGGAACACATTTTTAATTCAGGCAAATATTAGTACTTCTACTAGCAGATGCTAGTAGCACAGCTGCAAGTGATGAAGGTGATTACCTTGTCAGCAAGCAGTGTATGCTGATGACATAGGTCGTTTATGCACAGAACTAACAGTTAAGTCATGTGTGCTTCTAAAAGCAGTCGTGGTCTTGAAGGTTGGAGTAACCCTGTCAACTCAACAGACGGGCAGAACCTGGCAAGCTTTGCTATATTGTTTTATGTTGTGCAGTGCCACGCCCAATTAATATCTCACAGCAATCTGATTCTAAGTAAGTCCCTGAATTGTTTTCAATTAAGTCATTTAAGGTTCAGTGCTTGGCAATTTAGTTTTCCTGTAAGTCAGTGGTGGGGAACCTTGGCCCTCCAGATGTTTTGGACTACATCTCCCTTGATGCTTTGCTAGCATTATGACACTAAGAGCATTATGGGAGATGTAGTCCAAAACATCTGGATGGCCAAAGGTTCCCCACCCCTGTTGTAAGTGGAGCTGCCCTGTGTCTACTTCTTTATCTAAATGGGGTTATTCCCTTAACTCAGAATTGCCATCAATTGAGACTTGAAATCAAACAATTGTTTATTTGGAATAAGTCTGTTTAGCTATTTTAACTTTTTTTTTACAAGTTTTTTTAAACTCCTGGCAATTCAGCTTGTCAACTGAACATTTGGCAAAACACTTAAAGGACCACTATAGGCACCCAGAATACTTCAACTCAATGAAGTGGTCTGGGTGCCAGGTCCCTCTAGTTTTAACCCTGCAGCTGTAAACATATTTACACTGAGGGTTAATACAGCCTCTAGTGCCTGTCTCCCTGACAACTACCTGAGGCCGCTTCCGCGATTCTCACTGTGAAAATCACAGTTAGAAGATGCTGAAGCCCATAAAAAGCATTGAGTAATTCTTTCCTATGGGCGGTATGAATACGTATTGGGCGCTGACATTGGCAGGAGGAGGAGAGTTCCCCAGCGCTGAAGAAGCCCGGCGCTGGAGAAAGGTAAGTGGTTGAAGGGGTTTTAACCCTTTCATCCTAGCGGTAGGGGGACCCTGGGGGTGGGGGGACTTAATGACCCTATAGTGCCAGAAAAACAAGTTTGTTTTCCTTGCACTATAGTGCTCCTTTAACTCTTATGTTGAATATGTATATTATATTTTATTATATTAAGTGGACATGACTAGAACAACCCTGTTTCTCCATTTTTAGGGGACGCATAAAGGAGCAGTCTAATACAATCAGATAAGTACTTTTATATGTAGTTCCTTAATAGTTAGGTTTCTGGCCCCTCATGGAAAGGGACACTATAGTCACCAGAACAACTACAGCTTAATATGGTTGTTCTGGTGGTTATAGCGAGTCCCTGCAGTTTTTTTTGTTTTTTTTTTAATGTAAATACTGCCTGTTCAGAGAGAATCTTTTTATCCTTATAATTTTTTTTTTTATTCTTTCCCTGAGGTCTAGTGGGCTTCACTGATCTTCATTTCTTTCCTGCACTGCTCCCAAGAGCGCCCTTTAGTGATGCTGGGGATGGAGTGACGTCATATCCCAGCTTCCAGCATCACCACAGTGTGTGCAAAGGAGCAGTGCAGGAACAGCACGAAGATGAGACCTCTCTCGCTGCTCGCCTCCATTGCCCCTGGACACGGAACATTTCAGCAGAGTATCCAATTGATATTCCTTATATTTTAACCACCATATTTTTTTCTCCTTTTCATGTTGACTGTCATAACTTAATTCCAGTGATCCTAAAGAACCTTTTGTTAATTGTATTTCTACACTAGGGGACAGAGCAAATTGAACACCCCCAACAAGAAGAGTGTGCTTTCCTGACACACTCTAAATTGCTGTTATGTTCGTTTTACCCCTGTTAAGCTATTTATGACACACAAAGCAGGTTTAAACTACAAATCCTGTGATTTATTTAAAAATGTATGCAAATATACGTGGTCAGTCATTAATGGCCTGGTACCGAATTCATGTTTTGGTTTGTGTTTTTTATTTTTGAAGAAAAATAATCTAGGAATACAAACTTGCATTCTTAACACTATAGTGTCCCACAGCCTTATATGTAAAGAGTTTAAAACCCTTTTTACAAGCGTTAATTCAAGCGCTGAAGCTCTGTTGTCATGGACCTGGTCCAACCTAATATTAAAAAAATATATATAGTGAAACCCCAAATCCTTTTTAGTTTATCAGGAGCTAGCATGTTAGTTATGTCCCCTCTTGAAAGTTTAGGTTGTTGCTTAAGGACACTTATATTGTAGTGTGTCAGCCAAATCGGTAGACAGGAGTAGAGTTGAGAGGACCCCTGGATGTTCGGGTTCGGCCAAACTTTGAAAAAAAAAAAAGTCTGGGTTCGGGATCGAACTTGACCCTGAACCCCATTGAAGTCAATGGGGACCCGAACTTTTGGGCACAAAAATGGCTCTAAAAAGTCCTGGAAAGGGCTAGAGGGCTGCAAAAGAAAGTAAAATGGGAGTAAGAGTAGGACAAGTGCCCTGCAAACAAATGTGGATAGGGAAATCACTTAAAATAACATAAAAATGTAAAATACAGCTGAGCCATAAAATAGCACTAGATGGAATCTTTGATTTTTAGCTTTGGAAGAACATAAATGTAAAGCATGGCTGTCAGGAGGATCACCAGAATTATCCATTTGGGAGAGGGTTGGAGTGCAGGGTATTCTCTTTCATTGTTCAAACTGAGCTGAACTCCTGATGCATGGAGAAAAGGCCTTCACAAGCCTCTGCTATTGTGTAAATAGTTTATACTAAGTGACCCATAAGTTGAGGAGGCGGTGGCGGTGTAGATGGAGGAGGAGGTAGCCAACACCCTTTTTTTTTTTTTTTTTTTGTCTGGGTCCCGGTCACCGGACTGCGAAACTGCGAATGGCTCGTTAAATCTGTTATGGTTCCTTTTATCACTCCATCTGTTACTTGGATAACTGTGGGAATTCTAAAGATACATGCCGACGAGCGCTAGGGGACGGCCGCTTCACTTTTGCACCCTGCTCCCTCTTATGCTGTGCTAGTGCCTCTGTGCGACCAGCGCCTCTTCCTCCAAACTGCACACGTCACTCAGACATTGATTCCATGTGGGGTCTAGGACCTCATCATCCTCCACATCATCTTCCACCCACTCCTCAACCCTTCCCGGTCTGCACGCTGCAGAAAGCCACAGCAGTTGGCATCTGTGTTTTTTCAGCATGTAAACTCTGCAAAGGACATATGGGAATTGTTTTAGAATTGTATCCAGGCAACAGTTTTCCCTATAAACTGACCTCTCAGTTTGACTTGTGAGGGTATTGCCCCCCGAATTACAATATTGTTATATTGGTATTTGACGGTTCTATTTGACTCTCAGATATGAAGTGCACCGCAGGCCGAAAATGTACTATTTAGCAGCCAAAAAATTTGAATGTTTAAAACTATGTCACAGCACTATTTGACACTTCTATTTGACTCTCAGATATGAAGTGCAGGGCCCAAATTTTACTATTTAGCAGATTAGCACCCAGAAAATAAGAATGTTTACAATTGCGCTGTAACCACACTATTTGACTCTCAAATATGAAGATCACGCCCCAAATTTACTGTTTAGCACCAAAACAATTATAATTTTTACAACTGCGCTGTAACCGCAGTATTTGACACTTCTATTTGACTCTCAGATACAACCACAGTATTTGACGCTTCTATTTAATTGACTTTTTAAAACTCTGATGTCACAGCACTATTTGACGGTTCTATTTGACTCTCAGATATGAAGTGCACCCCACTAATGTACTAGTTTGCAGAATTCTTTCCTAATCTGTCCCTGAAAGCGGCAGCATCCTCTCCCTACACTTATAAGAGCTCATGTGACGTGGCCAATCACAGCCATGCCATTAGTAGGCATGGCTGTGATGACTTCTAAGGGCACACGAGTCAAACGCTTTTTGATTGGCTGCCCTGCAGCCTTTCAAAACGCTCCATTAAATCGCTGAACACCGAACTCCAACCTGAACATACAGTGATGTCCGGGGTCCAAAAAAAGTCATGTTCGGTACGAACCCGAACTTTACAGTCCGGGTTCGCTCAACTCTAGACGAGTTTTGGCTGTTAAATATTATAGTACTAATATACAATGATCCAATAGTACATAATGTCTTTTTCATTCAGTTAGACCATTATACAGGTCTTAAACTAGCCACAGCTGATGATCTGAGGACCTAGAGGAAAAAATAAAATGGGTCCATAGTGCTCTCTGTTTGAATATGTATTATAATGGAAGACTGTTTAAAAATACTTTCAAAATTATTTTCAGGGAATACAGTTTTACAGGTGCTGTGAATGTGTGGTGCATTAAAGCTTCCCCATAGGAAAGCATTGGATCAGTGCTTTCCTATGGGTAATTTAAAGATCTTAAACATCCTCATGCAAAGTGTGACAATGTCCAACATTGTTTCACAGAGAAAAACCCAGGAAGCAGAACGCAAAGGTGGACTTGAAACTGCAATGTTTTATATTTCAGGGTTAAAGGAACACTAAAGTCACCTAAATTACTTTAGCTAAATAAAGCAGTTTAGTGTATAGATCATTCCCCTGCAATTTCACTGCTCAATTCACTGTCATTTAGGTGTTAACCCCTTAAGGACGGAGCCAAATGTACCCGTTGTGAACAAAACAAAATGTAAACAAAACCGCTACATGTCTGTCCAGCCGTAATACACCCACCCTTATTATATATCATTTTATTCAGGGGAAACAGGGCTTTCATTTAGTATCAAATATTTAGCTATGAAACATAATTTAATATGAAAAAAATGGGAGAACATAAGATTTTTTTAAAATTTTTTTTTGTTCTACATGACATTTTAACTGTCAATGTCATAATACGGTTTGCTTTTACTGCAATAAAATACACATATTTGTATTCAACAAAGTCTCACGTGTAAAACAGTACCCCCTATGTACAGGTTTTATGGCGTTTTGGGAAGTTACAGGGTCAAATATAGCACGTTACATTTGAAATTGAAATTCGCCAGATTGGTTACGTTGCCTTTGGGACTTTATAGTAGCCCAGGAAAGAAATTTACACCCATAATGGCATATCATTTGCAATAGTAGACAACCCAAGGTATTGCAAATGGGGTATGTCCAGTCTTTTTTAGTAGCCATTTGGTCACAAACACTGGCCAAAGTTAGTGTTAGTATTTGTGTGTGAAAAATGCAAAAAAATGCCAATTTGGCCAGTGTTTGTGACTAAGTGGCTACTAAAAAAGACTGGACATACCCCGTTTGCAATACCTTGGGTTGTCTAGTATTGCAAATGGTATTCCATCATGGGGGTAATTTTCATTCTTGGGCTACCATAGGGTCTTAAAGGCACCGTAACCAATCTGGCGAATTTTAATGTGAAAAAAATGAAACACAAGCCTTATATTTGACGCTGTAACTTTTGAAAACACCATAAAACCTGTACATGAGGGGTACTGTTGTACTCAGGAGACTTCGCGGAACATAAATATTTGTGTTTCAAAACAGTAAAAAGTATCGCAGCAATAATATTGTCCGTGTAAGTGCTGTTTGTGCGTGAAAAATGCAAAGAAACGTCATTTTTACTGGCGATATCATCGTTGTAATACATTTTACTGTTTTGAAACACTAATATTTGTGTTCAGCGAAGTCTCCCGAGTAGAACAGTACCCCCCATGTACAGGTTTTATGGTGTCTTGGAAAGTTATAGGATTAAATAAAGTGCTAGCAAATTAAACTCCCTTTACTCTCGGCATAGGTTGTCAGGCAGGTCCCGCTAATTGTAATTATTTAAGATACCTAATTTAATTAATGCCATGGTAAACTTGCCAGATGTGTTTTGTATGCAGTGTGAATGGGTGTATTTCTTTGTTACTTTGGTGTTAGAATGCAAGAGGGTGTTTCTAAACAAAGTTCCTTTTTTTATAAAGGGGTGTTTTTGCATGGCGTTTGATTGGAAGGTTGTGTTTGATTGTAGTGTTTACATTTGAATGCTGGGATATATGCCCAACTACACACTAACAAAGGTGTCTGCAAATCCTAGGTCGTCATGACAACTAGGAATTTTGTCTTGGAGTCTGGGATTTGTTGGCCTGTTCAACTGAAGAGGCGAGGGAGAATGCAGTATGATGACCATCTGAGAGCATAGGAGGTCAGCCAGCTGTGCGTAATGGAGCCTGGCAGTGAGGAAGGGGGGCGGTAATCTTCCGACTCTGCTCACAAGCGCGCACTGCAGTGATGCTTGATATGGTATCACTAATCATTGTGCGAAAGGGAGAGCACAGCCTCACGCGACCCCAGAGAAAACTGATTCCCTCCAGCTCTCCCAAAGGTGGAGAGGCTGGGTGGATTTAAATTAAAATAATTTATGAATTGTTTTTTTTTTTTTTTTTTTCTTGTCTATCTGTCAGTAAGTGTGCCTGTTTAGGTGACTGGTTCCCCTCTGATCACATAGGAATGGCATGTGTGTTTTTTTTGTTTGTTTTTTTTACACACCTTTTTTCCTACACCATGCCAGTCTCACCATGGCTGTCCTTGTCTCCATGCATGAGATAATCTTGATGATTTCAGTCAAGCCAAAGCTTTCCTATTGGAAAATATTGGGAGGTTATTGCGCATGCACTAATTCGAATCTCCTCCTAGAGATGCATTGAATAAATGCATCTCTATCGGGAACATTCAGCACCTCAATGAGAGCATGGAGAAGCTGAATGTAGGTGCTGTACACCATGCAGCAATGGACTAGGGAGCCCCTATAAAAGCCGCCTGAGTGACTGCCACTAGAGGTGTTATTAAATAGCAATGTCAATCCTGTCTTTTTCTCTGAAAAGGCAGGGTTTACATTGAAAAGCCTGAAGGGACAGGCTATAGACCCTTTCTATATCTCTCTATCTCTCTCTATCCACACGTACACACATTTACCCAGCTTAATGTATTGGTTCTGGGGTCTATAGAGAAAAGGACAGGAATATATATGTACACACATTTACCCACACTGACACACACGTTTACACAAATATATACACATGCACACACACGTTACTATTTACATATTTTTAGCCGCCCCCTGCTTTCATACCTTTTGGGCTTCTTTCCTTCCCTTCCTGGGCTAACTGAGGATGATGGGAGTCTGAGGCTGTCTATTGAGCTGTTCCTCCTATGTGTCCCAGCCTTCGCACGGTCTGTAAGCTGGGAGGAAGTGACTGGAAATTACTTCCTCCCAGCACTGATGCCAAAATTAAATGGGCCCTGTTGCGCTTTTAAAGGGATGCATCACATGACTGGTCTCCTTATCAAGTCACCCTGCCTACCCAATAGGCTTTCAAAGCCTGGGGGCCACAGTGCAGCTGCATATGCTGCACAAGCAGTAGTTCCGCCACTGGGTGGCACATCTAGCACAATACTGCGGCACCCTGATGTGCAATTTTGCAGAGCAGTACTTTAAAGGCATGGTCTAAAAACCAAAACAAATTCAGCTTGATGAAATGGGTTTTGGTGTATAAATCTTGTCCCTGTAGTCCCTTTGCTCAATTATCTGCTGTTTCCATAGCGTACCCGTTATAGACTGCAGGAGCCTTGTGTAAATTATTAAAATTCAATTAACAAAGCAGGAAATGGAAACTTCTAAAGCAAACATGCTGAGCTGTATACCTCTAGTTGAAAATAAAACTTATTTTTTTCACAGAAGTTGTGTGATTCCGAGCCAGGGGATGTGTGATTAGGTCAGCAAAGTGAAACAAAAGTGGGTTTTTTTGTTTTTTTTTAACATCTAAGTGGCAGAAAATTGAGCAGTGAGACTGCATGTGGATGTTCTATACATATAAAACCTTTTATTTATTTATTTATTTATTTTTTTTTTTTTTTCCTTTCTAGCATAGTAATTATTATTTTTTTTTAATTTTTTTTAAAGGGGCAGTCCAAATAACCAATGCATATTTTGTGAAGTGGCTATGGTACTATTAAGTTTAGTCAAACCGTTTTAGAACTTTTGACCAAAACCCTTTCTGTCTGGCCCCATCCATAGTCCGACATAATCAGCAAATCAATGCCATCAAAATATAGTTGGAATTAATATTGACAATGTAGAAGTGAATATTTTTCAGAAAGTGGGGCTAGACTAGTAGTGTCTTGGGAACCTTGGTCTTGATGAGATGCTCATGAACAGTTTGACCAACAACGGTGGGATGGCACCCAAAACTTTAATAGCATCATAACCACCACAGTAACATGTTATAGTTATGGCACAGATTAAACTTTACCCAGAACTAGACTGTGCAGTTGAATTCTTTCTGTCTGAACTCCTACAAGTTTGGAATCTGCATGCCCCGCTGCGTAAGGTGAGCCTAAAAGGAGCACAAATGAATTGGATCACAGCTGACCTCATCCAAATGTACCAGTTTCGTGATTCATTGTGGTCAAAGTTCAAGTGTACTGGCTCTATGAACGATCACTGTGCATATAGACAATGGCGAAATATATGCACAAAACAAACAAAATTGTCCAAAGCCCGATATATCTGTGAAGATCTTAAAGGACCACTCTAGGCACCCAGACCACTTCAGCTTAATGAAGTGGTCTGGGTGCCAGGTCCCTCTAGGATTAACCCCTTTTTTTTTTTTTTTTTTTTTTTATAAACCTAGCAGTTTTTTGTGAAACTGCTATGTTTATAAATGGGTTAATCCAGCCTCTAAAGCCTCTGGTGGCTGTCTCATTGACAGCCGCTAGAGGCGTTTGCGTGCTTCTCACTGTGAAAATCACAGTGAGAAGACGCCAGCGTCCATAGGAAAGCATTGTAAATGCTTTCCTATGAGACTGGCTGAATGCGCGCGCAGCTCCTGCCGCGCATGCACATTCAGCCGAAGAGGAGGATCGGAGGCGGAGAGGAGGAGGAGATCTCCCCGCCCGGCGCTGAAGAAAAGGTAAGATTAACCCCTTTCCTCTCCATCCAGACTGGCGGGAGGGGGACCCTGAGGGTGGGGCCACCCTCAGGGCACTATAGTGCCAGGAAAATGAGTATGTTTTCCTGGCACTATAGTGGTCCTTTAACAATAACATATCAAACCTTAGAAACTTTTGGAAAGTCATAAATAAATTACAAACTCCCCCAATCCACTCCCAACCCTCCACTGTCAAAGGGGATAACCAAACCCTGCAACTTCCCTTAGATGTAGCAAATGCCTTTAACAATTATTTTGTTGGATGCTCTACTACCCTGATTGCTAAGCTAATAAATGACATGCATCCTGAAACTACAAATGTGGATCATGCCCCACTAAATTTGCAAAGACCCAATATAGACCATTTCAATTTTAGACCTGTACCTATTACTGTCATTAAGAAACACTTTAATAATCTAAAAATGAAAAACCAGTCTGGACCTGATCAAATCCCAGCAATGCTGTTGAAGCTCAGTGCGCTGGCAATTGCTAAACCTGTCACAACCCTAATTAACAAATTCTTGGTCTCTGGATTCATACCCAAACTTTGGAAGATGCAAGAGTAGTGCCTATCCATAAATGTGGTGACACTACTTTTGGTTTCTAACTATCGCCCAATATCATTGCTCCCAGTATTGTCAAAAATATTAGAAAAATGCATCCAACTAAGACAAAGTAATCTATGCAAGCAAGTCCAATCTAACGCAACTTGAGAAAAGTAGATCACAAAAAACAAACTCTTCCTAAACACTGACAAAACTGTCACAATGATCTTTGGAACAGTACCTAAACTACAAAATTCCCATCTATGCATCAAAACAAATTCAAATAACACACTGATTGCAGTCCACTCTTTCAAATACTTGGGTATGTTGTTACACCCCAATCTATCTTTTGGCCTCCACAAAGAAAAACTTGCATCTAAACTTTATCCAAAACTAGGTGCCCTGTACAGAAACAAATCCTGCCTAAGCCCTATAGTCAAGGAAAAGATTGTACAGCAAATGCTGATGCCAATCATTGATTATTGGGATGTAGTATATGCACCTGCACCACAAACACTCCTTAATAAACTTAATACATTTGTATAACTCGTTCTGCCAATTTGTGCTAGAATGTAATTACAGGACCCACCATTGTGATATGCTAAAATAACTAAACCGGCTGTCGCTGGAATCCAGACGCACCCTTCATATTTCCAGCCTTGTGTTTAAGAGCTTTTCTGGGAAGCTCCCACCCTACCTAAACAGAATGCTCTCCCCGGCTGTTACCCTCTCCTATAACCTCCGATCCAGTGCCAGCACTTTATTTAGTCTACCTCAGAGCACAACAATTATGGAATGACCTCCCGCACACTTTAAAAAGTTCCCCAAGCCTAAAGTCCTTTAAGAGATCCCTCTCTACATACCTCAAAATAGAATGCATCTGTCGTGGTTGATTTATATATTTCCTATATGTTCTATGTTAAATTTTGTATATATTGTTTATTAATATTGTTTTTGTATTTTATTGTGCCCTAATGTATCAATGCAATGTTTTGTGGACCCAGGACATACTTGAAAACGAGAGCAATCTCAATGTCTCTTTCCTGGTAAAATATTTTATAATAGTTATGGTGTGTAGTCTGCCCCTAGTCTGGGAAAGGGATGCATTGCCTTCGTAATTCTGCTGTGAGATGTGAGAGTCCATGATCTCAGGGAAGAAGGACTATTTACATCAGCTCCTTGGCCTGGAGTACCGGGCTTAGTGGGTATGCTGGGCAGTGACTGCTCTTCAGGGATATCAGGAACTTGAGACATAACTGAAAATATATAAAGCAACTTAATCATTATCCTATGATGAAGTGGATGGTACAGATGAGTCCCTGCTAATTGCCAAGCGGCATGAGAGGCTCTACCTATGCGTTGGTCCGAGGGGAAATATGAGGCCACCGAAACATTGTGGCGATATGTTGGTCTCTCGGTGATAAACTAAAGCATAAGATAGAATGGGAGTGACATTGGAGGCCCTCTCTTTGCGACCATGCAAGGCATCAAGTTATGATTTGGCCCGAGGAGCATATACCTCCGAGTATGAGGATGTGTGTTGGCCTCGCGGAACCACTAGCCTATGGATTAAGACCGGAAAGCATCTCCTATTTGGGCAGTCTAAAACCCTGAAAACAAGTACCACTCTAAAACTAGAAAGGTACTGGGTTCTAGTGTCGTACCTGATAAGTTGAGTCAAGACGAGGTGTAATGTGGAGTTATGAATTAGCCAGTGGCAGTAGATACGTGCTGCGACCTACAGATATGAACATGATATGAGTATCTGTGCGTATAGGTTTAGCTGACCAGATCGTGGGCCCGGAAATTAAAAGGAACCTACCAGACACTATGAAGACGATAGTAAGATGAAAAGGACGATGACTGGTTTGTTGTGCTTGAAAAGCAACAGTCTGTGAATTCAGGTACCTAAGGAAAGTAAAATGTTACATGCCTAATAAGTGTAAACATATAGCCTAGCCCAGTGGTAGTCAACCTTTTTCCACTTACCGCCCACTAATGCATCTTTCTTGATGGAAAAATTTCCTTACCGCCCACCAGTTTTCGCGCAAGCGCGGAATATTTTTTAGAAAGGAGGGTGTTTTAAAAAATACATAAATGAACGTACATTTATCTTTTTATTTCTACTTTATGCATGTTTATAATGTTTTTAACTTTATAAAGTTTAATGAGGAAGCAATAAAGTAAATTGAGCTTACCTTTACTAGTGATTAATGAGATCCTTGAGGTTGATGCTGCGAGACTAAATATTTGATATCTGGTTCGATTTTCATAAGGAACAAACGAAGGTCTCCTCTTTCAGTGATAATCGGAAGACTTCTTTGTTTGCTCATAAAATGATTTCTCATCTGTGCGTCAGCTCCCCTCCTCTCCCTCCTCAATTCCCCTTCCCACCTTTTTCCCCTTTTTTCTATTTTTTAACCTTCCTTATAGCAATGCCCAGTAGGAAGGCTGAGCTAGGTAGCCCACTTACTATTATTAGTCAACAACAATTCTCTCCTTTTCCTTTTCTTTCCTTCTCCTTTTTTACAAGTACTCTACTCCTTCTTTCCTCTATACTAGAAGTACTCTACTCCTTCTTTCCCCTATACTAGAAGTACTCTACTCCTTCTTTCTCCTATTCTACAAGTACTCTGCACCTTCTTTCTTCTATTCTACAAGTACTCTGCACCTTCTTTCTTCTATTCTACAAGTACTCTGCTCACAGACAAACACATACACACACACACTCACATTGAAACACATACACACAAATATACACATACTCACACATGCACTTACAGACACTCACACATACACACAGACAGACACACACAGACACACACATACACTTACAGACACACACACACATACACTTACAGACACACACACACACACACACACACATACACTTACAGACACACACACACATACACTTAGAGACAAACACATATACACACAAATTATTAATATTAAATATCCACCCAGCCTCCCTACCTGGAGAGCTGGTGTGGATCTGTCCCTGGGGTCCAGTGGGGCTTCACTTAGGCGGGCGGCTAATCAGACGCAGCGAGGGAGCTCTAACCTCTCTGCTCTGCTCCCTCGCGGACTGTCTACGGATGCCGGGAGCCGGAATATGACATCATATTCCGGCTCCCGCGGCATCAGCAAACATCGCGCGAGGGAGCAGAGCAGAGAGGTTAGAGCTCCCTCGCCGCGACTGATTAGAACGCTGCCATGCCGGGGGGTCCAGAAGGTGGCCTGGCAGGAGGGAGCGCTTCCTCCTGCCGGTCACTGAAGACTTGCGCATGCAGAGCCGCTCGCGCCCGCCCAAAAGGAGAAATCCTCTTAAAAAGAGGATTTAGCCTCAGAAATCCCTACCGCCCACCTGGAATCCTAAAACGCCCACTAGTGGGCGGTAGGGACCAGGTTGACGACCCATGGCCTAGCCATTAGAATAGAAACTGTTAATTAAATTTCCAACCAACTTAAAAGACAATTAGCATTTTTTTGAAACAGTCGTCAGAAATTCAAACGTTGTTATATCCGTATACACGTAAATATCCGAAATTAACCTGTGGGAAATAATATCAGGACAATATCAGCTATAATAACGAAGTCTTTCATCACCTGTAATTTAGCCTAATTCATGAACATAACTTAAAGGGACACTCCAGGCACCCAGACCACTTCTGCCCATTGGAGTGGTCTGGGTGCCAACTCCCACTACTCTTAACCCTGCAACTGTAATTATTGCAGTTTTTTATAAACTGCAATAATTACATTGCAGGGTTAACTCCACCTCTAGTGACAGTCTACTAGACAGCCACTAGTGGGCACTTCCTGATTCATAGCAAAGATTTTCTTTGCTATAGCGTCGCTGGACGTCCTCACGTGGTGTGAGGACCTCCAGTGTCGCTCCATTCTCCATAGGAAAGCATTGAAAATGCTTTCCTATGGGGATACCTAATGCGCGTGTGCAGCATTGCCGCACCTGCGCATTAAGTTTCCTCAGCCAGCGGGCGGGATCAGTCTTGCCCACCGGCTGACGTGATTACTGGGAGGAGCGACGCCGACCCAAAACCACCCCCGAGGGACATCGGCCGGGTCTCAGGTAAGTGACATGTAGGGGTTTTCACCCCTTCAGCTACCTGGGATGGGAGGGAGAGGGTACCTGCAGTGCCAGGAAAGCGGATTGTTTTCCTGGCACTGGAGTTTTCCTTTAATGCCTGCAATATCCTTTGTTACCCATAGGGGCATATTCTTATGATTATGCTAATCGGTTGAACTTATGCCAGGATATTACCGCCGAACAAATAAAAGCAATACATTGTAGAAACTAATCATTCGAGAGTTTTTTGTTTTTATTAACTTGGTCTATGAAACAACCGAAACCTATTGCTGGAATATAGTGAAACGAATGGTCGCATTCGTGTAATTGCGCTTATGCTGGTTATTTTTAACATGTGTATGGTAGTTATTTTTAAATGAACGGCGTGTATGTAATAAGTACGTGTGATTTAACCGAACGCAAAATTGTAACGAACAGAACCCCTGCTGTTAGACTTACAGTTTTAGACCTATTGGCTGTACTGAGAACGGGCTGCTCAGACGCAGGCGGGAGGCTGTGGAGCGATGGGATTTTGGAAGCGGTTAGGTAGCGAAGAACCAGGAGACCACGTGGGAACACAGGTACAAGAAAAATGGTAGACTGAACCGGACGTAATCCTCTCAGACTCGCCAGACCATCAATGGTAAGGTGAGAGAGTTTTGGCAGCCCTTTTATAGGGAAATCAAGCCCCTCCCACAACTACAGGCCAAAGTCTTAACACATATATATTTCACACAAGTAGTTTAAAAAACAAACTGTGAATGCATCTCAGTGTTGTAATTGTGACAGAATGAGATACAGATTGCCATTATCCTCCATGCAAGTCCTAAAGAAAACACTCTGTGTACTGACATTTAATATAAGATTGCTTTGAAATTGATGTCTTTTAAGAAAGTGTGTAGAATGCTTGTATGGTTGACAGGATGTGTAGTTGTGGGCAGAGCTGCACAAATCGTAGAATAACCTCTATACAACGAAGTAGCTTTAGTGCCTAAGCTCTCTTTAATCTATTCCCCAAAGGTTAATACCGTCTATAAATGTTATGTGTCTCTATTTAAGAGGGACTGTCCCTGTTTTGGGCCCAAATCCCTCTATTTTTTTTAATTTTTTTTTCTGTTTGTGCTGCTTTTCTATGATTCCATATTATTAGTTTGTCAGAGGGTATAAGAAGGCTCCAGAGAAATTATACTCACAGCAATGTGTATTTAAATTACAACAAATGCATTTAGAGAACAGTCTGTGTAGCGATACGTTGTTCTTGTTCTAAATTATATTTAGTTGCATGAATTGGTATTGGTAAGTCGCCTAAAATTTCTTACAGCAGCCATGCATCTAGCCCCCCTTCCCCCTCCCCAAAAAATACAATCAAACTGTCCCTCTTTAGATAAGCACCTACTCTGAGTTTAATAACCTGTCACATAGATTATTGAACAATTTCAATTAATGTATTGCGTAATTCACATTTACCACGCCATCTCCCTCAATTTAGTCTTCCCTCTATTATTCCACAAGTACTATCCTGCATCTTCTGTAAACAGCACCCATGGCTTCAGACTTCAAGTATACAAGAGCAGGGCCTTCAATCCTTCTATATCCGTATGATCCAATAAAGTTTATTTTTCTAGTGCTTCTCTAGAAAGAAAAATTGTTGAAATAAGAGGGAACTGCCACTTTGCAGACTTCGTAATAATAATAATAATAATAATAGATCTAGACATGACTATAATTGAAACATTTTCCATTAATAATGTGCATTGTGTATCCTTGTTGTGTCTGGACTGACTTGGATTTTGATATACTTTGCTAAAATCTTTAATACAATTTCAAAAGAACATGGTGAAAGGCTAAACTGATGACTCGATCCCTTCTGGTCACGGTTCTCCAACCCTCGATTGTCACCTGAGCTCAGGGAAGAATTATGGAAGCAGAATAACGAAAGACACAAGATTGCTTTCCAAAAGTCTTCTGACAATGTATTCAAAATGCTCTGTACTTATACGATATTTGTCACGAACATTGGTTACAGAAAGTTACACAAGATACATAAAAGAGGGAGTAGTTTTTGCTGTTACATTCAATAATCTTTTTTTTTTTTTTTATTCTTTTTTTGTCAAATTTATCACCATAATTACATTATACAAAAAAGTATTTCAAAACATTCAAATTCATACACATAAACACAAAGACAAAAAGGACAAAAAAAACAAAAAACCCACCCCCCCACGAGAGTTCTACAGACTTCCAACTTCTCTATCTCATTTCAAATGATATTAATATTACATTTGTAGTAAAAAAAAATTTCCCAATTTTCCCATAGGCTCAAATTATCATTCAGAAGCTTGCAATGATCCTTCTCCATTTTAAGTTGGTAAACCAACGGTATTGTTATTAATTTGATGTTAAAAGGGGTATCTCCCTTCCAATTTCTTGCTATTATTATTTTACAGGCCATTAAACAATGAATAATTAGGAATTGATTTATTTAATTTTGGCCATTGGTAGTGTAATAGCATTATTTCAGGTTTTAGAAATATTTTAACAGCGCACAGTGTATGGATGATAAATTGAGCCCACTGCCATACAACAATCACTTGTTTACATGACCACCACATGTGGATATAATTTCCTTTTTTCTCTCTACATTTCCAACACTTTATATCCATAGATGTATCAAATTTAGCTATTTTCGTTGGCGTCATATACCATTGATTAGCCAACTTGAAATGTGTTTCTATCAATACAAAGCAGTGGACATATTTATTTATTTTTTTATTTATTTTTTTTTATTTTTTTTGTAGGGTAGATAACCATTCAGTTAATTCTATATTTATTTTTAATTCAGTATTCCATTTTTTAATAGCACTGGGAAGGACAGAATCATCCATTGGGTCCAACATTCTAACACATCTAGAGAACAGCTGCTTTGTTTTATTCTGGTATAAGATTGATTTTAATATATCATACATCTTACCCTCTTTTACTAACTCAACTTTCTCCAAATAATGTTTTTCTCTAAAATAGGTATATACATCTTTAGCAGAGATCTTAAACTCCTCTACCAACGTTTTTATAAGGTTTGATTTTACCCTCTTTGGTCAGATCTATAAGTATTTATTCCTTTTTCTTTCCATAGTTTTAAGGAAATACTCTCCATGTTTAGTTCTATTATATCTAAATTTTGAAAATCAAATATTTTATTTACCAAATCAATTTTTTTCCCTTATTTTTTGCCATATTGGAGTGATCTGTCCTAAAATGTATGATCTGGATAGATTGCATTTTTTTGTATTCCAGACTAACTCTAGGGTATCTCTTAATTGGCTAGATTCTAATTCTGACCACCACTATACTTCCTCTTTATTTTGTTTTATCTGACTAGCCATGACATGCGTAATAATCCCTGCTTCATAATATTTTCTTATATTTGGATATCCTAAGCCTCCCTTCTTTATTCCTCTTGCTAGTACTCCATTTTTAATTCTGGGTTTTTTCCCTCGCCATACAAAATTAGAAAAGGCCTTGTTGATCATTGTCAGCCATGCATTCGGGATTTCTAATGGGAGCATTCTAAACATATAGATCCATTTTGGCAAAACGTATGATTTCAGAATATTTATTCTTCCTCCCCAAGATACTTCTAATTTTCTCCATTCTTTCAAATTCTTATTAGTTTCTTTTAGGAGATCCATAAAGTTTATTCGCATAGTGCTTTCTACATTTCTGCAAATTTTAATTCCTAGATATAAAAAGTTTTAGCTTTAATAAAGCCATATGTTTCTTGATAGGAATCTATTTCTTGATTTGACATATTGATATATATAGCAATTGATCTTGTTTTATTTAATTTGTAATTTGATACTGCACTGTATATCTCAATTTCTGACATTGCATTTGATATTGATGTTGACGAATTGCTTAAAAATAGAATAGTATCATCAGCATAGAGAGATATTTTCAGTTCTTTCTGTTTTGCTATGAATCACTTAATATTTTCGTTGTTTCTAATTCTGTTAGCTAGAACCTCTAGTGTTTAATATAAACAATAAAGGGGACAGAGGACAGCCTTGTCTGGTCCCATTGTTCAATTTGAACCAGTCTGAGCATATGCCAGGGCCAATTGTTCTCGCCTTTGGATCTTTATATAAAGCTAAAATTGCATTAAGCAACCATCCCTGTATGCCTAGTTCTTCTAAGCTAAACTTCATAAAGTCCCAGCTGACCCTGTCAAAGGCTTTTTCAGCGTCTAAAGACAGGATCAGCATGGGACTTTCTTTTCGTTGTGATATATGTAGTGCATCTATCAAGCGTCTAATATTATTGCTTGACATTCTGTCTGGAACAAAACCTGTTTGATCAGGATGGATTAGCTGTTTCATAACTTCTTTTAATCTGCTAGCTATAGAAAATATCTTAATATCTACATTTATTAGTGATATTGGGCGATATCTCTGAACTTTAGTTGGATCTTTCCCTGGTTTTAATATAGGTAGAATGTTTGCTTTAAGCATTTCGTCTGGGAATCTGCCCTTTTTAACTGCAGTACTAAAAGTATTTTTTAGGTGGCCTATCAAATTAAGTTTCATTGTTTTGTAGAATTTATTTCCAAAACCGTCCGGACCTGGCATTTTATGAGTTTCTAATCTATCTATTGTTATATTGATCTCTTCTTCCGTGATCTCTTTATTTAGCTTATTTACTTGTGTTTCTGTTATTTTATTCAATTTTGCTGATTTAATATAATTTTTTATTATTTCTGAAGGAGTAGTTACTGAAAGACTATATAAGTTGGCATAATACTCATTAAATGCTTTCCCTATCTGTTCTGGGAGAAGGGAGATGGTATCATTAGTTATTATTTTATCAACCTTGTATTGTTGTATTTCTTTTTTTCAGCATATTGGACATTATTTTATCAGCTCTATTAGATTTATGATATTTAATTTTAAGTTTATGCATATTTGTTCTGATTTTTTCGTAAGTTTTTTCCTGTATCTCCGATTTAATATTCTCTATTTTTAACTGATTGTCCTTGGTTGGGTTTGCATTGTTTTTCTTATTTAAATTATATAGTTCAATGTAAAGATCTTGTACGTTTGCGCCTTTTTTTTTCTTTCTTTAATTTATTGAGCATTATACAATGTCCCCTTATTACTGCTTTAAATGAGCACCATAAAGTATCATTCTCCACTTGTCCATTATTATTTTCTTCAAAATAACAAATGGTCATTTTATCTATATAGTCTTTATATTCCTTATTTAATAATAATGATTCATCTAACCTCCAGGTTATATTCTTACTGCTCTTTAATCTATTACTGTTTAGTTCCAGGCACACACTATCATGGTCTGACCATATTACTGGTTTGATTTCTATTTTAAATGTTATATCTATTAATTTTAAATCTCCAAATATAAGATCTATTCACGAGTACGAATTATGGGGCCAGGAGTAAAACGTAAATTCTTTCACTGCAGGATTGTTAAGTCTCCATATGTCAAATAGACCTTCTCTTTTCATCAAGTTATTAAAAGTCCTTGCGTTTTTTAGAACTTGTTCGTCCCAAATAGTTTGTTTTTCAGAGAACTTGTCTAATGGGGGGTCTTGTATACTATTAAAGTCCCCTGCATATATCTTTATTCCTACTCCTACTTTCTCAACCTTATTTAATACTTTTCTCAATAGGCATATGGGGTTTTTGTTAGGCAGATAAACATTAATTAGAGTGAATAAAATATACTCACGGTATATAGAGCAGACGTACTGCTCGGTGAATGGCGTATGGGTGGTATAATCCCCACTTTAGGATTCTTGGTACTCCAATATGGACAAAAAGGTAGTAGTGGTCAGGTCTGAATAAAATAAACTTGCAAATAGTAAAATAATAAAATTATACTAAAAGAAGGTAATATAATACTAAGGTGGAAAGAGGAATGTGGCAACCAAATGTATAATAGCCAAATATTCCTTTATTAGCACTTAGATTATATAAAAAGTTCCTATACGCGTTTCGCCACAATAGGCTTCATCAAGTAGAAACTTATAAAAAGAGCCCTTTTTATAAGTTTCTACTTGATGAAGCCTATTGTGGCGAAACGCGTATATTGGAGTACCAAGAATCCTAAGGTGGGGATTATACCACCCATACGCCATCCACCGAGCAGTACGTCTGCTCTATATACTGTGAGTATATTTTATTCTGTTTTTACATTTTATCAACTATACAGTGAGCACTATATTTTATTTTTTTACCTCGAGCTGGACTACTCCACCAAAGTACTCTGCTAAAGAACAAGAGAGGAGCACCGTATATCCTTGAGTGGGGATTATTCCACTACGTGCCATTTACACCAGAGCTGGATTTAAGCTCTGAATATTGTGAGTAGTTCTACTATTCTATATACAATATTATTTACCGTTCATACTATACCATTGGAGTTTCCCTTGTCTTCTGTTTTCTTCACATATCCATTTTGAAGCTGCGGATATACATCTGGGACTTCACATACCATTTTATGTAGCACTAGGACTACCTCCTGCATATGTGGATTATTTATATCCGGACTTTCTAGGTATCGCTGCTTGGACTCTCTGATACATATTTTTATACATTCATTCTACTTGTCTTAGGCGCACCCTTATTTGTGCTTTTCTCTCCATTGTAATTATATTGTGCCTCATTAAATTTACTGCTTTCCCCTATTTTGTTAAGTGCCAAAAAAAAAAAAAAATTTTACATTTTTTACAGGATTATAATTTTTTAGGTTTCTAATCCTTGTGAATAACTAATGTGCAATTTGTATTTCTAAGTGTACCACTTTCTCCTCAAAAATTTAGTGTATCATACATAATTTCATCTCGTTTCCTTGCATATTTCTTATTAGTGAATTACATTGCTAACATATACGTGATTTCTTTTAACTTAAAATTTCTTCTCTATATTAATTTCTCCTTCTTTGATTACAATCTATTCTCTATGTTTTCAACATGGTGTTTCAACATCCTTTGTATTTTTCTAAATTTCTTTGGATCAATTAATTTCTCCTTATGCTTTAAGTCTTCAGTGTCTTTCCTTCAATAATCTAATCTTACAAAATATCGCATATACATTGTGGTTAAGCATCTCCTGATACATAGAAACTGTCATAGCTTGTGACTTCCTTTCAGTTATGTTTTGCAAGCAGTTCTGAAAAGATCTTGCTACTACATTTACAAATAATTCATTTCTACAATACTAACAGATTAAAGGACCACTATAGTGCCAGGAAAACATACTCGTTTTCCTGGCACTATAGTGCCCTGAGGGTGCCCCCACCCTCAGGGTCCCCCTCCCGCCCGGCTCTGGAAAGGGGAAAGGGTTAAAAACTTACCTTTTTCCAGCGCTGGGCGGGAGCTCTCTGCCTCCTCTCCTCCTCCTGGGCTGAATGCGCACGCGCGGCAAGAGCTGCGCGCGCATTCAGCCGTCGCATAGGAAAGCATTTACAATGCTTTCCTATGGACGCTTGCGTGCTCTCACTGTGATTTTCACAGTGAGAAGCACGCAAGCGCCTCTAGTGGCTGTCAATGAGACAGCCACTAGAGGGAATAGGGGGAAGGCTTAACCCATTAATAAACTGTCCGGATTACTGTTTGATCCAGCACATAGAACTGTACAGCACGGATGACAAATAAGTAACGTATTACCGGTCCTTAGAATGGCCGGATTTAACGTACAAAGAATAGTCAAAAATACTAGCCGAGATCAGGGAACACAGAAAGGGACACAGCGATGAGGAAAGCCAGGAGTCAGGATACCAGAATATAGAGAAGTCAATAAACAAAGCCAAAGTCAAAAACCAGGTAGAAAACTATAAACAGGAACGCGCTCTCAGACAACCACAAGGAAACCACGACAGGGCACTGAGCAGGCTTAGAACTGGGCCTAAATACCCCTCCTTTAGTTCTGATAGGCTGTAACCGGCCTTTGACCCCAAAGTCAGTTACCAGGTTTCATTTGCATAATTGCTGCTCAGCATTAACCCTTCTGTGGATTAGGTTGCTGCTCGGCACAACTTTTCCTGTATGGACAGTAAATGTCATTAACCACATTTCTCTAAGCGGATGAATACATGACACCAGGTTTCATTTGCACAATTACTGCTCAGCATTAACCCTTCTGTGGATTAGGTTGCTGCTCGGCACAACTTTTCCTGTGTGGACAGTAAATGTCATTAACCACATTTCTATAAGCGGATGAATATGTGACATAAACATAGCAGTTTCTCTGAAACTGCTATGTTTATTAAAAAATGGGTTAACCCTAGCTGGACCTGGCACCCAGACCACTTCATTAAGCTGAAGTGGTCTGGGTGCCTAGAGTGGTCCTTTAACTGTTTCAATTCCTTCACATGGTGCATCACATAATGAAAACATTAACGTATGTTTTATGATGGTGATTTTCAATATTATTTGTGTTTTCTGTTGGTTCAGTAAGCAAAGGATTAATGTAAGATGAATGAATGCATGGACCATTTTAAAGGAATTTAAAAATGACATAATGAGACAAAAAAAAGATACTAATAGGACATAAACCATTTCCTTTCTGCTGCTGTTTTATTTTTATTAACCCCGCTGAGGGGGCACTCCCTGAAGTGGAAAAGGGGCAGGGAGTATGAGGCCTACACCTCTGTCGGATGCACTATTTAGCTCTCCCTCATGATCCCAGTGCTCACGAATGACTCAGAGTGCAGCCATCAGGATCCCCAGCCTGTGGTCAGATTTATGGAGTGCTCAGACTGGAAGGAGCGACTAAATTGATCTGTACCTGCCAGAGATGAAGACTATTCACTCCCACGCAGAATCACCAGCGATCCAGGAGTCCCCGTTGAGGAAAATATCCCAATCTTTTTAATGTCAAAGAGCCACCTCAAATTCTCTTGGTCTGTCATTGCTACAGGGTACTCTTAACCGAAGCAAGATATCCTGAGGGTCTGCAAATAGCAAATGTCTTGTTATTGTTTTGTACTCAAACATATAAGGGAGTAGGTTTAAGATATTAACCGTATGGTGACAAAATATCTTCTTTTCTAGTTTCTGTGTGTGTATTAATTACTGACACTATTTTTAGAACTTTTGTTATTCATTTTTTTTTTTTTGTACTATAATGTTAGTGCTCCGAAAATATTATAAATTGTTTTTGAGGGACATATGGTAATTTTCTTTTTATATCCTTTGTGTGTATGTATATAAATAAGTTAACGGGAAAACTCCAAAGTTAGAAATAAATGTTTTTTGTTTTTTTTCTTCTCCTGCATCACCAAGGCAAATAAAAATACTGATCAAACCAGTCAGGTGATACTTTTAGGCAATTAGCGTAGTATGCTTGGCTCACTGGAGCTAACCTCTCATCAGGAGAATCTGGAAGAAAGTGCTGGAGCCTCAGGTGCCCAGCAGGATCCAGGGAAATTGTCACACCATTCTAAACCGGGTTGACAAATTACACAGGGAAGGCGCAAGGGAACCTTAACCACTACAATGGAAAAGTGATTATGTAAACGGTAAATATCTATATAAACGTAATCTTTTATTTGAAGGTTAAAAGACATTTGAACTACTTAAAAATATTTTCTCATGAAGATTAAATCTAAGGCTATTTCATATTTCTAGACATGCTGTAAGATTTTTTTTTAATTTTTTTTTTATTTTGTCAGCTAGAATAGTTTTATTCTACTTTATAATTTGTGACTGTGATTTGTAAAAGATGATCCTTTGTACCTAATAATGGAAGAAAAATTAGTCTATCCCTGTGTTGGTGGAAGGCCATTACAGCTTAGATTGCATCATTTTCCATCTGCCTTACTCTGGCTTTCTAACAAGTCTCTCCAGGAGAGCGTTCAGCCTGCAAACCAGCCGCTTCCCCTAATCCACTACTAAAAACCATTTTCCCTGCTGCATTGCTTGGCACAGAAACCTGGATTTGCTTCAGTCTATGCCTTGTTGATTTATTTTGTTCCTCATACAGATCAGCAATTGATTTGAAAGCTTTGTATCCATATATAGTTTATATAACAGAAATTCTTTATAGGAGTGTGGATCAAGCAACTGCTTTTTATGCTTTTTTTTTTTTTTTTATCCCCCTCCAATTTAATAATAATATTCCTTGCACCCTGGCAGTAACATAAAAAGAAAATCCTCAGTTGTGTTTAATTGATGCAGTCATTTTTATTTTATTTTGATACACCTTTACTGTTAAGTGTATTATAGTAGACCAGGGGTCCTCAAACTCTGGCCCCCCAGATGTTGCTGAACTACAACTCCCATGATTCTCTGGCTATGTAATTCATAGAATCATGGGAGTTGTAGTTCAGCAACATCTGAGGGGCCGGAGTTTGAGGTCCCCTGTACTAGACTAAAAGTATACAAAGTTACAAGTGTGTGTGTGTGTGTGTGTTTGTGTTTCTGTGTTGAAAAGATCTTTTATGTCTCTAGAACAGGCTTGTGTTTACATTATAACATTTTGTGATTCATTTGTATGCAGATCTTACTATGTGCTGGTGTCACTACTGAAATGGACATTTTGATTGTGCGCTGATGTTGCTGTGCTTTTAAAGTCAAAGAGTCTGTTTCTCAAAACAACTGTGATTTAAATGGTGCAGTTTTGTTAATTATTCAGTAGAAGATTTGGCTGCCCCTTATTGGGCCACATTTGCACCATGAGAAGATAACCATAAGCTTGTTACATTTTAATATAAGCCACAACAAGTTTGAAAACGTGTCCTAGATACTTGATTTTTTTTTTGTCACAGGTTACTTGTTCCCTTTTTCCGGTGCTTTGCTCTGCCCTGAAGGCATGTGTGTGTGATAGGATGTGTGTGTGATAGGATGTGTGTGTGTGATAGGATGTGTGTATTGGCTACATATGTGTACTTGCAGCAGTGTAGGAGGGCTTTGTATGAGATAGTAATTATGTTAAGAGCTGCATGTGTGTGATAGAGGTGTGGAGACTTGTGTAGATTTGGAGTTGTGGTGTATGTCTGTGTGTAACTTTTATTATTGTAAAATATGCTAGTCACTTTGTGTTGCCCACCTTTTGGATGTGTGATTGTGTGTGTGTGTGTGTGTGTGTGTGTGTGTGTGTGTATACACACATACATATACACATACATATACACATCCAAAAGGTGAGCAATAAAAAGTGACATAGGCATATTTTACAATAACACAATGTCCACATTAATATATAACCACAGACACCTTTTATTTAAATAATCACATGAACACAAATGTGTAAGTCCAAAACACATACAGATACATACAAATACTTATGAAAACTCTGGATACACTTAAACACAGATACTGTTTTGGTAAAATACCAGCCAGATGGTAATCATATTAACAGAGCAGGAGGTAAGAAATTCTAAATAAAACAGTTTGCAGTAAGAGAAGTAAAAATTGTAGACTTTTCAGGAATCTGGGTGCCTGATAAGACACCAAATAAATCCGCAACTAAAGATGGAAAATTATATCCTGACAAATATCAATAAAAAATTAAGACCTAATCGCTTCTGGGAAGATTCAATAAATTTAATAAAGTCTGTATAATCAAACAAGAGAATATTGCCTTTTACCCACCTCTTCCCCTCATCTCCGAATTTCCAGGATCAAGAGAGGTTTTTTTTTTTTTTTTTTTTATGTCTACTGTGATATTTTATTGTGTATGTATGGATATTCACAAGATTTAGACTTTAAATGTCATACATGTTGGCAACTCTTTTTCAATACATCTAACCTTATGAATACCACAGTATTTTTAACCATTTGTATCAAGAAGAAGAGGAGAAAAGGAAGAAGAGAGAAGCGAGAAGAAAGTTGAAGAGACTAGTTTATATATAATCTTTATATATAATACGTTGATCTAAGAGAATTGTATTCGATAGTATTAGGAAAAGTGCCTTATCTCGCTTTTCAGCATGTGTCTAAATTATTGCTTTTGTATTTCTGTATCTGTTTTTAAAATTTGAGATAAAAATTTGAAAGATTTAACAATTTAAAAAAAAAAAAAAAAAAAACTATTAGTAAGTCATCTAAAATTTCTCAGAATATGAGGCATGGTTTGGACTCCGACCGGTATGGCTGTTGAGGTCCTGAGCTTCGAACCACTAAGCTCCTAAAAGTGCTCCTAACGTCACATTACCACATCTTATGGGGCAAACTAGGTGCCCAGAGAGCCCGAGGGATGCAGCCCCAACCTCTTATATTGAACCTATAGAAGACTTCCTCCAAACCTGCTGGAGCCTTCATCCGATGCGCATGACTCCAAAATGGTGCCCAGGTCACCTTCCTTCATTGGTCACGTCTGCTAAATGTGAGCAGGACTCCGTTGGGCTACTAGATGTCCTCCTTTGTTGTACTACCACTCCTAGAAAACTCTGGGACTCCGGTTGTGACGTTGGGGTGGGGATTGGCATGCTGGGCTGATTTTTCACTTGATTTTGTTGCCTTTATGTGGGCCTGTCCTGCATTATCACCCATTGCTGTCACTGAAGTTCAGATGCACTGATAGAGGGAAAGCCGTCTTTGCCCCACTGTTGCCTGAGGGTGTAGGATGTCCACGTGTGGGGGATACACTGGGCTGCTTTGGGTGGGGGTCTTGGAACACCTGATACTGAAGCTTTTGCATAGGCCTTTATTGATATTGGTTCACTCTCAGCTCTACGGTGGGATGTGTATTTGTATATTCCTGTTTCTATATTGTATTCACTGGTGCCATGTTTGGTTAGGAGGGTGACTAGGTTGGGAATTATACATTTGCCTTGTGTATACTGCTGGGGGAGTATAGCCTTCTTCAACGAAGTACCTTTATACTCTGAGGACTAAACACTACCCTAATACCTCTTACAGTAATCATTCGATGGCTCGAAAGGCTGGTGTAGCTATATTTCTGGATGCGAAATAATAGTTAAAAGGGCTAGACACCATGAACGATCAATCCTTCATAAGTTGTCTGCCTTCACTGAAGGCTTGTTGATTCTGGGCATCGATTTTTAAGGTCCCCTTGAATCCTGCAATGTATTTCTCATCTGGTCATGGTAGTGTTACCAGAGTCATCAGTAGTATTCTGAAATGAGAGTGAATGGTGCCCTCACAGGAGCCTTTGAGCTACATAAGGGTGCCCTTTATCCACGATGCTGTTTGCGTTGTCGTTGGAACCCCTATTTGAGGATGGGAGGGGTGACCCCAATATTAAGGGGTTCACCTGGAACACTACCTATCACAAGGTTGCTTCTTATGCAGATGATCTCTTGGGTTTTTTTGGGTGGGGGTGGGGTGGTGGGATTTGTGTTTTTGTTTTTTGTTTTTCTCAGCTGACCAGTACAACTTTGCCTCGTCTAGTGGAAATGTTTGACACGTATGGAACCCTTTTCGGCTTTAAACTGAACATGACTAAATGCGATGTGCTTAATGTCTCAATACCTACTGCGGAAAACTAACTTCTGCCTATTCCAGGTTTGATGGTGAAGTATCTGGGGATCATGATCATGAGGGACCCATCTGTCCAGCAACATATAAACTTTGCACCCCTCCTCCATTGCTTACAGCAGACCTGAAAAATGGCTGGGACAAATTGCTGTGGTGTGGATGAATCCTAATATTTGTTTCACACTTTTCCCTTTTGATCGCTTTCTTTGTGTCCTTAGTATCGTCTAGTCCACAATATGTCTGGACGGGTGAAAGATCAAAACTCGGGCACAAAATACTATGTTTGCAAAAAATCAGGGGAGGTCTGGCACTCCCTGATCTTCATAAATGTTACCATGCAAAACTTTTGCCGAGAATCCTGGAATGGCATATTCACCTGGCACAAAAAACAATGGATTGCATTGGAAAAAGGTAACCTGGAACCCTACCACATTACGTCTGTGTGGAATTCGAAGAGATGGATAACGGACAAGCGCAATTTTACATCTCCAGCAGTGCAAACTTTGACACTGGGCACCATATGGGGGGGGGAGGGGCTACCCATTTAGCACCTAATTCAAGCCTATTGATTCAGATACCTAATAACATTCAACTAGGGGGTGACTTTCCACCTAGGACCAGGTACTTTCTCGGTAGTAGTGAGTTCCTTCCAATTAGTAGGATATTGTGGAAAGCTGGATTGGTGTTGCTTACAGAATTGACCAGCAAGATAGTGCAATCTAGTTTGCAAACGTTCAGGTACACACAATTGCAAAATTTCACACTCTCCCGAATAAAGCAGCGCTACACAGTGAACACACGTGGTTTGAAGATCTTTGTAAAGACAACACTAATCTGAATAAGGCCATGTCCACACTCTATCAACACTTTTTTTCTTGTGGGGCAATTGGAGGGTCACAACACCTTTTGTAGGCAATTACTAATCAGATCTTTACAGATGCTCAATGGGAGAAGGTCCTTATACTCAACCACAAGAGCTTAGCCAGTTCCAAATACCAGGGATCCTGCTATAAACCGTCTAAGATATTCCCAACAGTATCTAATCTTTATTGGAGTTGTGGTACGGCTGTGGGTATGGTAAAATATATATGGTGGGACTGCCGGAAGATAGTACCTTTCTGGGAAGCGATCAAGTTTAAAGAGCAATCAAGTTTAAAATTGTGGACATTTTGGATGACATAGATCCTTTGCCATTGGAAACCATATTGCTACATGTTGGCCTCCATAGCAGATAATAAGAAATACATTCTTCGGAATCTCTTAAATGCTACCTTTTTCCTAGTGCCTGCCCTATGGGAACAGGATGTGGCACCAATGATCGATCAGTTGATCGCTTCTTACTTGTTTCACACAATACCCTTTTGATCGCTTTCTTTACCCTATTGATGGACAGGGTAGAGTAAATTCAGATTGCAGAATCTTTGCATGCATCTTTGATGAGGGAAGGAAATGAGTGACTTTGAGCAATGGCAGCCATGGATGGTGTAGATGTCCGGGAGGGTCGTGGGTCTGGCTGGGGTAGGTGGGGAGTAGGCTAGCTATGACAGTAGGTGCATTCACTATCTCTATTCTACCGCGCACTGCTCATTCTTATTTATCCTGATACTTTTCATTTACTCTACCATGCTACATGATGCCTTGCTGCGCTGCATGCTAATGGTGGCAGCATGTGACTGACTGGAACGTGCTCTATTACGACTGTAGACAAGCTTTTTTTTTATTTTTATTAATTTTTTTGCTTTACCTAGATTTCATTTACCCTCTCCTTTGGTCCAACACTCATGAAAGAGTGGGATCTTGACCCCACTCACCAAGTCATACGTGCAACCCTGATATTTCGCTCTTTGTAACGCATAGGCGGTGTACTCCAAATTTTTTTACTTAATATTTCCTCATGATTCCCATTGTTGAAATTGTCTACGCCTACATTATTTCTTATATCTCATGTAAAATGTCTCTGAAAAGACAGTGTTTACTGCAAAAAGCCTGAATGTAATGATTATACTCGCCAGAACAAATACAAAAAGCTGTAGTTGTTCTAATGACTATAGTGTCCCTTTAAAATAAATACATTTTAAAAAATTCTGTGACTTGATGTTGCCATGGCTTTTTAGTCTACACTTATTAAGTATGATGTGACCGCATTCACTTTTTAGTACTTCTACTGTTTGCATCCTATATTTCAGTCAAACAACACCATAGATCAGGGTATGGTTCATTTCCGTTGTTTAAACCACCTAGTTATCTAGAAAGAAGATGTTGCCAGTTTTTCCTCCAATGACTATTTGTTGTACAGTATATATGCACGCAGCAGAGAGAGAGAGAGATATTGTTTTAGCTTTGGAGAACTTTGTAAACAGAAAATGTAATATTTGTATTTGTTAAACATTCACTTTTAAATGGAACTCTAAGGATTGTAATCATTACAGTTCATTTGGCACTCGTGCACTCACCCAGAGGCATACATTCACAGATACTTACAGGATCACTATAGTGTCAGGAAAAACAAAGCGGTTTTCCTGACACTATAGTGCCTTAAGGGTGCCCCCACCCTCAGGGCTCCCCTCCCGTGGTGCTGAAGGGGTTAAAACCCTTTCAGCAACTTACCTTTATCCAGCGCCGTGCTGGTAACCCCCTGCCGATGTCAGCACCTGAGTGGAGCGAAATGCGCATGCGCAGCAAGAGACGCGCGTGCATACAAACAGTCCATAGGAAAGCATTTCTCAATGCTTTCCTATTGACGTTCTGCACGTCGGATGCGAATTTCGCATCCAGCGTCACAGATGCGGCTGTCAGGAAGACCGCTTCTAGAGGTTGGATTATCCCTGCTATGTAAACATCTCTGAAACTATGTTTACATGTGAAGGATTAAAACCTGAAGAACCTGGCACCCAGACCACTTCATTGAGCTGAAGTGGTCTGGGTGACTATAGTGTCCCTTTACCTTTTTATATGCTTATATTCTCAAACACAGATTCACAATTACAAAAATAAATAACACACACACAGATACATGTGAACACACACATTTACACAATACAGATACATGCTGCCACACAGACAAATATTGCCATACACTTTGTCATACCCATATAAGAAAATGCATGCACACACAATGTTTGCTGCCTTGTCGGTAATCCGGATCTGATACAGGGATACTTTAAGCACCAGAGCAACTTCTAGCTTAATTAAGCAGTTTTGATGCATAGCAGGGCTTGACAAATCCCAGACACACACAAAAAACAACAAGCTGACTCTTAGGTTCAAAGCAAATTTTGTCAAGCCCTGGTGTATGCATCATGCCATGAAATCACACTATTCATTTAGGCGTTAAATCAATTTTGTTTCTGTTTATGCAGCCCAAGCCAAATCTCCCCTGGCTGTGTCTGACACCGCATTATGATTTAAAAAAAAAAAAAAAAAAACTTTGATTTTCATTCAGATCTTACAGCACCCGCCGCATGCTTACTTTGGATGTTTTTTTTCTCCTACTCTGTAAATTTATCTTTAAATATTCACATGAGGCTATTGCAGAGCAATAGATTAGAAATTCTAAATAAAACTTGTGGTGCAATAGGGGTAACTATAAAAATATATAAAAAAAAAAAAATGAAATTCTGATGCTGACTGTTGAAATTTCATTGAAATTCCAATGCAATCCAAAGATACTATAAGAGATGTATTTTATGGAAACTTCCTCTAACAACCACATGTGCGAGAGTACAGCACTGATGTGGGTCCATGCAAATGAAGTTCCAAGAACTGAAGACCAAGAGGAAGAAGATGGTGGTAGCCAAGAGTGAGAATTTCAGGTAAGTACCTACTTTCCACTCTGCCTCTTGGCCACCTGACTCCAATGAGAGATGTTCCCTTAGCAAACTATGTAAAGACCCCTGGAAGTGACAGGTCCACTTTGAGCGAAAGTGCTTAGAGTGTATTTTTAAAGTGTCTTTTTAAGCATGTTGTAGTTTTGCGCAAATTTATGTGTTCGGTTCGCAAAGCAATATCACTCATATTTTTCCACTTGTCTGGGAGAAATGTACTCTAGTGTGATAAATACACATATATTTATTACCTGTATTCAGGGCCCCACAGCAGAAAGTTAAAGAATAAAGTTAACCTCGCCATGGCCGCTGCTTTTCACAAGGAAGTGTCCCTTGTAGCTGTCTGACTTGGCTAAACTAAATAATGGTTATGTTGCTACTATAATGGTTATGTTGCTTGGAGTGTTTTTAAGGGACACTGTAGGCACCCAGGCCACTTCATCCCATCGAAGTGGTCTGGGTGCCAACTCCCATCACCCTTAACCCTGCAGTGGTAATTATTGTAATTGTTATAAACTGCAATAATTACCTTACAGGGTTAAGTGGCTATGCATGAAGACCTCCAGCATCGTCTGAATCCCCATAGGAAAGCATTGAATAATGCTTTCCTATGGGGAGATCCTAAAGCTAGCTCAGCCATTGCCGCACATGCGCATTAGGTCTCTCCTTCCGGCAGACGTCTGTGGTGGAGGAGCGTGGGTGGAGCTGAGCCAGCGCCGAGGGACATTGGCATTGGACCCAGGTAAGTGACTGAAGGGGTTATTAACCCCTTCAGCGCCGCAGGAGTGGGGCCTTGACCGAGGGAAGCTATAGTGCCAGGAAAACTAGTTTGTTTTTTTGTTTTTCTGGCACTATAGTTTACTTTAAAAATTGGCATACCTTCCAAATTTGGGAGGTATGAAAACAAGATAGAGATAATTTTTTTTTTTTTAAATAAGGAAAACCAAGTCCCAGAAGGAAAAATATGGGTCAGTGGAAGTCGGGATAGAAACTGGTTTAAACCTCTCCATGAAGACAGCAGCAGTTTCCTCAAAGGTTAAAGGGACGCTATAGTCACCAGAACAACTACAGCTTATTGAATGTGTTCTGGTGAGTAGAATCATTACCTTGAGGTCTTTTTCTGTAAACACTGACTTTTTAGAGAAAATGCAGTGTTTACATTACAGCCTAGTGATAACTTCACTGGCCACTGCTCAGATGGCTGCTAGAGATCCTTCCTGGGTCATGGCTGCCTAAAATGCATCCAAACATTCAGTGTCTCCTCCCTCTGCATGCAGACACTAAACTTTCCTCATAGAGATTCATTGATTCAATTCATCTCTATAAGGAGATGATGATTGGCCAGGGCTGTGTTTGAATCATGCTGGCTCTGCTCCTGATCTGCGTCTTTGTCAGTCTCAACCGATCCTATGGGGAAGCACTGTGATTGGATCAGGCCACCACTTCTGATGATGTCAGCAGACAGCTTTTTTTTTTTTTTTTTTTTAGGCAAACAGTCTAGGCCTCACACTTGTTTCCAGTCCTCTTCTTTGTTGTAATCGTTGCTGGGAGTTTGATCAACTCTGGGCTGGAAGCATGGTTGGAACCCTTTTCACAGTGAATTTTCTATAGCATTTCTTAGTGTTTGGATGCCAAGCATCCAGTACCCAGATTACCAGAGCATACAAAACATATTCTCTGACAGTACTGTTCCAAGTATCAGGTGTTCATTAATGCTGAATATCCCTGGAGACCGCTTGCAGGGTAATGAAATATTTCATCAAAGCAATTGAGTTAACACCTTGCGTTCCCATACATTTTCACTAAGTGTGCAGGCTTTATTTAATTTTCAGGGGAAAAACATACTTTTACATTTTATGTAAAAGATATTTTATTATCACTACAAAGTAATAACTATTCTAAAACATTATATCATGTTGGTCTCTTTTTTGGGGGGGCACATTTCAGTAGTTCTTCACAAAGTTGAGGTCCTCTGTAAACACATAATAACCTGCTCCTTGAGACACTGAAAGTAACATATTGCGGTAACCTACTCGGGTCAGGTATGAAACAAGGACACTACAAAAGACTCCAGACACAGGTCGTTGAAGAACAAAGGTTCTTTATTAGTTTGCAGCTGCAAAGTCCCAGGACCTTTATTATAAATAACACGCTGTACTGGGCACTGGTCAGTTTCCAAACAAAGAATGTATACTGTAAATGACGTATTCTATACATATACACAGAATACATAAATCACACCTATATTACTATGGTTACATCCAATTACTAAACTAAAACTTATCTCTTACACATGTTATCTAATAGTGGGCGCTCCTGACATTCCACACATGCGCCCTGGTCCAAGATAGTTGCACAGTAGTTTTAACCATGTGAGTACTTAACTTTTCTTAAACATCCTACTGCTTATACCACAATATTGCACAAATGAAGGATAATTCTGCTAGTAAATGGAAGGCCAGGGCAAACTAGACACTTTGTAGTAACTTTGCCAAAATAAGGAACACATGCTACTAGGTAATCCTTCTCACTGTCACATAAGCAATAAACTCGAAGTCCCCATTTGGTGGGCTTCTGACGATTGTAACATTTCCACTGTACTGTGCCCTTCAATCCAATGGTGTTTTCATTTACTGTTCTATTAACCCCTTAAGACTGGAGGGCGTACAATTACGCCCTATGTTAGGCGGCTCTAAACGCCGCTGGGCGTAATTGTACGCCCTCCGGTCTCTTCTTACTTACCCGGTCCCACGCTGGCGATCGCGGTGGGGGGGGACTCCTCCGGTGCCCCCCTGCCATGTGAGAGTGAGGTCTTTGCGAGGACCCCACAATCACATGGCCGGGTAGGCTGCCTCCTGCATTGCCAGCCTGTAATGACAGGTGGTCCCCCTGCTGGCTGGAAATAAAAATAAAATTAATGAATAAAGTATAAAAAAATAAATAAATATATATATATATATATATATATATATATATTAGCATCCAAGTAGAGAGCACTCTGGAGTCTTCGTTTTATATCAGTATTTATTTTGATATAAAACGAAGACTCCAGAGTGCCCTCTACTTGGATGCTATATATTGGTCAGAGATTACTTGCACCGGAGCATGGAAAAGACCGGGAACATTGAGTGCTGGGACCTGGGAATATATATATTCCCATATACATACACACATGTACACTGTCTAGGTGTATTTTACTATTAATATATATAATTATATATAAATATCAAATTACATGTAGACTGATACTGATTAAATATATAAAATTATTGTTATATAAAAAAATATTAAAAAATATATAGATGTGTTATTTCGTTATAACTGTATTGTGATATTAATATATATATTTATAACAAAATACACATAGAACGAAATAATATATATCTACATACATAAATATATACGTATATATCACTATATATATACACCTATATATAAATAAAAATATCTTTAAAAAATTATATATATACACATATAGATTCACCTACGTATATACATATATTAATTCTACATATATATTTATGTAATATTTTTACATAATTAGGTATCTTAATTAATTACAATTAGCGGGACCTGCCTGACAACCCATGCCAAAAGTAAAGGGAATTTAATTTGCTAGCACTATATTTAACCATAAAACCTGTATATGGGGTGTACTGTTCTACTCGGGAGACTTCGCTGAACACAAATATTAGTGTTTCAAAACAGTAAAATGTATTACAACGATGATATCGCCAGTAAAAGTGCAGTTTTTTGCATTTTTCATGAACAAACAGCACTTACACGGACGATATTATTGCTGTGATACTTTTTGCTGTTTTGAAACACAAATATTTGTGTTCAGCGAAGTCTCCCGAGTACAACAGTACCCCTCATGTACAGGTTTTATGGTGTTTTCAAAAGTTACAGCGTCAAATATAAGGCTTGCGTTTAATTTTTTTCACATTAAAATTCGCTAGATTGGATACGGTGCATTTGAGACCCTATGGTAGCCCAAGAATGAAAATTACCCCTATGATGGCATACCATTTGCAATAGTAGACAACCCAAGGTATTGCAAACGGGGTATGTCCAGTCTTTTTTAGTTGCCACTTAGTCACAAACACTGGCCAAAATTGGCATTTTTTTGCATTTTTCATACAAACAAATACTAACGCTAACTTTGGCCAGTGTTTGTGACCAAATGGCTACTAAAAAATACTGGACATACCCCATTTGCAATACCTTGGGTTGTCTACTATTGCAAATGGTATGCCATTATGGGTGTAAATTTAATTCCTGGGCTACTATAAAGTCTCAAAGGCAACGTAACCAATCTGGCGAATTTCAATTTCAAATATAACGTGCTATATCTGACCCTGTAACTTCCCAAAACGCCATAAAACCTGTACATATGGGGTACTGTTTTACACGTGAGACTTTGTTGAATACAAATATGTGTATTTTATTGCAGTAAAAGCAAACAGTATTAAGACATTGACAGTTAAAATGTCATGTAGAACTAAAAAAATAAAAAAATAATCATATTTTCTCCAATTTTTTTTCATATTAAATTGTTTCATAGCTAAATATTTGATGTTAAATGAAAGCCATGTTTCCCCTGAATAAAATGATATATAATAAGGGTGGGTGCATTTAATATGAAAGAGGTGAATTATGGTTGGACAGACATGTAGCGCAAATGCCAGGTTTTGTTTCATTCACAACGTGTACATTTGGCTCAGTCCTTAAGGGGTTAACCCCAGATATAAATAGTTTACTGCAAATTTTGTTTGTCTGCCACATTTTTTATTTTACCATCATTGGCTGCTGTCGTGGTGGAGGGCACAAATGGAGCTTCCAGAAAGTTTTTAAGAATCTAGGGCATGTGATTTTGAGCCAAATATAGAAAAAAAATTATTTCAACTGTCATTTTGAATTTAGAGCCATATTGATTATAACGCCTAAAAAAGCTTTTTATTTCAATCAAATTCACCTCCTTCCAAGTATTCCTAATGGAATATTGAAGCAGAGGAGTACATTTTTGTATTCTCTCTATCGCATATGTTTGTTTCGTGACAATTTTATTTAGTAGCTATTCAGTAAAAAAACTGAATAATAATAAAAATGACCTTTTTACATGTACCATTTAAAATTTGAATACCTGGTCTGGGAACTGTAAAAGAGTGTCTTGGAAAATTAGGACCATTATTAAGAATTAAGATGCCTTTCCCGATTTATTTATTAGATTTTTCACTTTTTCAGCAGGTAGGTATTAATCCTCAACATTTTTATTTTCATCCACAACATTTTCATCACTAAACTTTTATTTTCTGTGTCATTTAAATCTGAATTACTTTTTTTCCTGGTGTTATAATAATTTTTAGCACTAAAATCATATTCAGAATTGCTCTGTTATAATATTTTGGCTAATTCTTAACCCGAATAAAACTTACAGTACACCATTTTTAAAAACGTTTTGCATCCAAATTGGAGATTGCATTGCACATATGCACAGCGCTCTGCAATCTCTCATTGGAACACAATGCAACCTGTCCATGTTTGCCTGTACGCATTGTGCACAATTACACCACCTGGCATGTTTGATCCAAAGAAAATCCAACATTGGACCAAAAGGTAAAATATTTTGTCGGCTATATTCTGACATAGGACCGCAAAGGGTTAAAGGAGCACTGTCCTTATGCCCCTTGCATCTTCGACAGCTCTCGCTTGCCACTCACCAGTTATCCGTATCAAGACCACCATTTTGTTCTCCTCTGTTCATGATGTTTGTAGTTTGCACTTATGTCAGATTCTGGGAAAGTGGTCTAGAACTTTGCTTAAACACTGCCCAGTGTCAAAGATCACAATCCCCATAAGAAAAAGCAGTTAAGTTTTTTTATATATAATAAAAACAGGTGAATAAAAAACAAAGGAAAATAGAAGTGGGGGGGGGGGGTGGGTGGGAATTTCATTTTATAACATGACAGGAGGCTTCATATTTGCTTAAGTCTCTCTTTACTAGAACTCCACAGCAGCACATTAACACAGAGAAAAACAACCAATCAGAACAAAGTTAGGTACTATAAAACTCCCCTCCCCATACATCATGTCCTCTTTCTTTGCTGCTTCACATCAGTACAGGTCAGAGTACCACTGCCTGCTCTTAGTGGGTGGCTTTGGGATTTTATTGCTTATATACAGTTTCTTAAATGGTCTTTGTGGGATTTTGTTTGCCTGTAAGTTTATGCTTTCACTTATTTATTTATTTTCCCTTTTTGTTTTTTGGGATTACTGGGGGTGTTTGGGGTCCTTTCTGTCACCTCCTATGTCCTTGGGTTCCCCCCTGTCCGTTTCCCACTATATTTATCCTCCGTTCATTTTTTGTCTGCACCCCCTTGTTCTTATTTCAGCCGGTTTGTGTGCCGCTCTGGGGCTTCAGGAGGCTGACTGTATCTGCCTCCTCTGACCCCCTTGAGATCTGGGACCATGGTGTTCATCTCCAGCGATCCTGTGTGTTTTTTTTCTTCCGGTCGCAGGGGTACTCGCGAGCGAGCACGAGTACCCGGCGGCCTGATCCTTACTCCCTGTGGCCGCTTCCCGCGGCTGCCCCTGTCCGCGGACCAGGTGGGGGAGGGTGCGCCTGCTCACCGCACCTCCCCCATCGGTACCTTAATCGGCGAATGTCCGTTTAAGGGCTTTCTCCCCATCTGAGTCAGGGATTTACCCAGACCGCAGCATGAGCCATCTGGCAGTCGGCGAGGACCCCTTCACCCTGCGTCAGCGTTCATCTGTATATCCTGGCCACACCGTCCTGCATAGGTGCTGAGGTGTGAGCAGGACACTGATTTTAAATCTCCTTACCCCTATTTACCACCAGGTGGTGCAGAGATCATAACCCATATGGATCAGTACTCAGTTGTAGCTCCCCATTTTTCCCACACTAGGTTTAACTAGGAGATAGATGGTTAGAATATATATATATATATATATATATATATATTTATTTTACTGTGTTGGAGAGCAGTTTGTAGGCAGTACACCCTGTGCTGCTCTGAGTTTTTTTCCTGCAACTTGGATATTCCTGTATTTGGCTGCAGGCATTAAGGGACCTGTTACAAGTTATAGTTCTATAACCACATGATTATACTGGAAGAAGGTCTTATATATTGGCGTTATCTCACCCCAAGGTTCTCATGGTTTTAATTACATATATAGGGGGGCTCTGTCTCACACATTGCTCCCTTGGTGCCGCCTACTACAGTGCCCATTTGATTGGCCTGCTCTGTCTGTGCCCTATTGATGGCCGACACTTGTCTGTGCCTAAGCCCCTTTTGGCCGCAGGCCTGGGGGAATATTACCGGGGATACCGACCTTACCCGCTATTGACACAGAGATAGGTGGGTGTCCAGGTGGGCACCGCTGCCATGCTAACTGAGGTGACACTGGTCTAACAACTATAGACGCCCCGACCCAGGAAAGCCTACAGGCAATGACTATGGAGCGGTGGCCGCCTCTGTTAGAATAGCGCTGTCACGAGCCATCCCATTGGTGCCTCATATAGGAGCACAATGGGGACTCCGCACGCGCAAGTAGAGTCAGTCTCTGACTCACCAGAAGAGACATGACCTTGAACCTAGTATTATTGGAAGGGTGAAGGCCCTGAGCCTGGGCAGCCACAGTTTCACCTGTCCGACTGTTACGGGCAAATGCAAATATTACAAGTTTTAGAATGAAATGTTGTATTTCTTAAACTGTTACCCACGGTTACACGACAGAGGCAGATTTCTAAAGAGAGTTCCATTATGAAATGCATACAGGGACCAGTGCTCTGTCGCCAACATGAGAGCACAGGAATCCCTTGACCTTTAGTGGCTAATCCTTTAACTGCATGTCCCGTATCCTCTTTTATATCTAGGTAGTTATTTCTACGTCAGACTTAGTTCTTGGCCATTCCTGTTGAGTTTATCTGCCCTTAGCTTTCCTGTCCATTGTATTACCTTCCCTATTTTCCCTTATCTGAACTTTACTTTTAGTTCTGTTGTTTCTTTATTTCGTGTCTTCTGATTTTCCTGTCGCTCGGGAAATCGTGAGGCCTGTCTTGGCCTCCTCCGACTTCCAGGGCTCTTGTGGATCGCGGAGAACGTCTCCAGCATTTCCTCAGGCTACCGGCGGCCATCCTGGATCCCCAGGCGGCAGTTTGTAGATTCCATATTATTATTATTTTTTTTCTTTTAAACTATTGCAGTTTCTTGGCCTACTCCCATTATTAGACTCATGGACACGGCCATAGGCTGAATTGTTACTACGTCTATTGTCAGTATTGTTTATTCCCAGTTTGAGGCCACCTCTCATATGTCTGATACAGAGAGTGATTTCATGGTTAGAGGGGAATCCCTCTCAGGACACAAGCCCAACTCGGCTATTATTAAAGGCTGAGCCCCTCGCATACAGTCGGTCTGAGACTGAGGTGGACTCTGGTTGAAGTGTTAGAGGGTGCGGCCCACCCATAACCTCAGCCGAGGCTGTGGCTATTTCACATGATTAGAAGGTGACCCCTCTCAGATACTGAACCTGACACTAATTTTACAATTAGAGGGCACGACCCTCCCATAACTTGCTGGTTTTGAGTGTGACCCACTCTTGTAAACAGAGCCAGACACTGATATAGGCACTGATTTTATTAACGGGTACGGCCCTCTCATACTGTCAGCCTGATACTAGCATGGACACCGTTTACGTTATTCGAGAGTGCGGCTCTCTCATACACTCAACCTGCTACTGTGCTTCTCTCATGTGCACAGGCCTAGATGACTATTTTACTGTTCCCTCCATTTTCCGGTGGTGTGACAGTTTCTTGCAGTACTGGATTTTGCTTCCCTTCTTGGAGGGCGAACCCGTCTCTTGACACTGCCCAACAGGGTTATTTACCCTGCTACCGTTGACCTTTGTTCAGCTTACAGGCTTTTGCCAGGACAGGACGACTATGTATTCGTAGTGGGGCGTCCCGCCTACCATTTTCATTAGAGGTGCTACCTGATCGAACATGGTACTGCATGTTTAAACTAACTGTCACTGTTACATCTCCTAGAATTGGTCTGCTGGATCGATGCCACTGTATCCCCACTTGGGATATACTCACTGAGGTATTACTGGGGAACATTCCCCACCTTATTTACACTTTGTTTGTGCCCCCATACCTCCCTACTGGATATACTTGTGGAGGTTGTACTGCTAAAGGGTGAGCCCCAGTTATTGCAGAGTGTAGGTTTTGGTATACTCTGCTTTGTATCGAACGAGCAACCACACTCTGTTTATACACACCATTCCATACAAACCGCTCAGACCGTTTTTTTCCCCTACCAAGGTAACCAGAGATGTTGAGACCTTCTTAGAGCAAACAGGCGATGCCTTACTCGGATTGCGGGAATGGGAAAGTCACACACTCGGATCTGCAGATACACCTTGGTCACAGGGAAAGACCGGTGTTCCCCGGTCGATTTGGGGTTCCCTGGTCTTTAACAGTCTTGGGATAGATGACAGGAATACCTCTACTCCTCTGAGAACGTATCTGGAGAACATGATTCAGATATGGAGGACCCTCCTTCTATACATGAATCCCCTCACAGGAGCCGTCCCGGTTTTTGATTTTCACTCAACCACCTCTTCAGATTCCGACAAGGATGAAGGCTTGGATTCCAAGGGGAACCCCAGTTTGTGACGTCTGTGTAGGATTCGATGTCAAAGTTGAGACGCAACCTCCCGCTGGAGTAATGCTCAGTATTTGTGACGGTTCGGACCTGACTACCCGACGTTCTCAACCCGGACAGACCCTGCTTCGGACGATGGAAGCTATGCCCCCTTTTTTTCACTATATCTATTCTCTGGAGTCAGCTGTCATTAGCGAAGGGACTTTACGTTTACCTACGTATTAGAGAACACTAGGAGATCACGGGACTCTAGGCGAAGGGGAGGGGATACCTAGACTTCAGATCTCAAATTCATATACCTGGGTCCCTTGGCCCAAGGCCTACTCTTGGAGATAACATGCCCCTGACAGTCAGGGATACAGGGACCTAGATGCCTCACTCTATTATACCCTATCTTGGGTGTGACAGGCACACCATAAGTCCCTCTACAGGCTTTTGGCAGGGCTGGACTGGAGCAGGATCATACAAGCAGTTATTCAGGTACTTCCACTCTCTCCCTAATCAGTCAACAGGCTCATGGTCGGAAATCCTGATCCAGCCCCGCTCATCAAGACCGGTTCGGGTTTTATTCAGCCTGTCTTCTCTTCGAACCACCTTTGACTCCTTTGCGGTACACCATGCAGCTATGACACGTGACGACTCGTTTATGCTGGTCACTTTTCCGGACCACTTTTCACTCCTCGACGTGGATACATCTGGATGGATATCTCAACCTCTATTTAAGTTTCCTCATTTGGTATTTCCAGGTTTCACACTCTCCCAGAGTAGTTGATCACCGTTTCGCTACATAAATTAGTTTTGGAACCCTGATTGGACGTCCCTTGGGACTACTTTGCCTACCACAGTCGCAGGTTCCACATTCCAATTGGAGTACTGGAAACACTTGGTATACGATGAATTTGGCCCACACTCTTGCTGGCATAATAGATTCATTTTCAGAGGAGACCACTCGCCAGGTAGGTCATGAAGGAACGAAAAGACCCTATTCGGTTCTGTTACGGAATTGGTGGTGGACTCAGTTACATTACTTGAGGTTGGAGGTTTGCCTGCACGGCCACATCACCTGGTGATCCTGGCTCGTTTGGTGGAGCCATCTTCCACATCAAGGGTTGAGACCTGGTGGCAGTTTCTCACGGTTCCAAGACCGCATATGATCTTTGGAATTTGCACTTGCAGGAAATGGTCAATGGATCGGCTTTGCAGTTCATGGACTGTCTTCCAGGAAATAGGTCACAACCCCACGTACAGTGGATCTAACAACAGATTGTCTGTTTTCCGTAGTTGAGGGTACAGCGACAGCTGTCATCTTCTTGAATCCATCTGCTGTCACTTCTCGCATTCGGAAGGTCCATTTGGGATTGTTCCGGTTATCTCCCGGAATAGGTATCAGCGAAGCAAACATCGTTGGATTTGTTGGCTGAACGTTAAAACCGCAAATAAGAAGCCTCCTGTCATGTTATAATTTGTAGTTTATGCTAGCTTTAGTGTACCTATAATCTTAATTTTATTAATGGCAAGAGGCGAATATTTCCCTCCCATTCTTATCGCTCCCTTGTTTAACTTTAATAGTTTGGGTTCATCAGGTACATATGCAACTCTGCTTCTTGTCTCTGCTACCTGTCACTTGTTTTTATGTCCGTTTTTCCTAAGTAAGGCTTGGGATCTCTGCATATTATGGTATTTCTGGTTATTACACTAGATGCCTACATGTTTTGTTCCGAGTACATTTCATTGGCTAACCAATCTGTTCGATTCTGTTTTTTCTCGTTTCAGTTTACAGTCCATCAACGCTATCTGGTTTGACAGTTTTTCTCGGATGGTGGAGGTCATTGTATCGATGACTGTTTTTTTTTCTCCATTATATTTTCTGCCTTTTTGTTCTGTTTTGTCGCCGCTTGAAAGAGGAAATTATGTATGGGGAGGGGAGTTTTATAGTACCTGACTCTTTTTTTCTGATTGGTTGCTTTTCTCTGTGTTAATGTGCTGCTGTGGAGTTCCAGTAAAGAGAGACGTAAGCAAATATTCGCCTCCTGTCATTAATAAAATTTAAGATTATAGGTACACTAATGCTAGCATAATCTACAGTTATTTAAGTTAATCATTGCAATAATTACAATTACAGGGTTAAATTGACCAAGGCAGTCTACCCAGACCACTTCAATGAGCTGAAATGGTCCAGGTGCATATAGAGTCTTTTTAAAGTGTCCTTCTTTCTTAATTTGGAATGCTGGGGATGTATGGGGAACTGCTACATGTAAAAAGAAACAGTCCATGGCTTAACAGATATTTGTTTACTTTTGTGTTTCCTAAACAGGGCTTTTTGTAAATCTTGACGTTCCTGAATACCTATGTCCAAAAACTGATGGGTGTTTTGTGCTGCCCTATGGATTGCACAGAAATAGCAGGCATGCAGGAATCATGATAAAAACTGAGAGAAGGCAAGTGACCTCAGCCATGTTTTGTTGGTAAAGGAATCAAAAGAATGCTACCCTTGTAAATGTGAAAAAATGCTATACACAGCCGAGTGGGAATAATAAGACTTCCCCTTTTTGTGTTTCTGAATAAAATAAAACTCTAATCTGTACATGGTGCAAATACAGGGACAGTACCTAAGGCACTTGCGCTTGCTTTGTGTGAAATTAACTTTTTTTTTTTTATATTTATTATTATTATTATATAACTTAAAGGGACACTATAGTCCTCAAAACAACTTTAAGTTAATGAAGCAGTTTTGGTGTATAGATCATACTCCTGCAGTCACGCCCTAGGCATACCTCCCTGCCTGTGACTTACACAGCCTTCCTAAACAATTCCTGTAAATAGTCATCTAATGTTTACACTTCTATTTATTGCAAATTTTGTTTCATTTAGAATTTCTTATCTCCTGTTCTGTTAATAGCTTGCTAGGTCCTGCAGCATCCTCCTGTATGTAATTTAATGTTTAATTTGTAGAGCAAGAGAAATACTTTAAAGTAAGTTACATCTGATTGAAATTAAACTATTTTAGTGCAGGCTGTGCCAGACACAGCCAGGGGATGTGTGGCTTGGGCTGCATAAACAGAAACAAAACTGATTTAACCCCTAAATGGCAGATAATTGTCCAGTGGAACTTCAGAGGCATGATCTATACCATTGGTTACCAAACGTTTTAGGCTCAATGCTCTCTTAAATGAACACTATAGGGTCAGGAACACAAACATGTATTCCTGACCTTATAGTGTTAAAACCACCATCTGGCACTCCCTTGCCACGCTAAATATAGTGAAATCACCAGTCATGAGTATATATTTACCTTGAAACTGTAACTTACTTTAATGAGATGGTGAAAATAAAGGACACACTCTTTGAATTCTAAAGTTTTACATATCCAGAGAGGTCTTAAAATTAGTTAAATACAACCTCAGATGAACAACAACACCTGATATATTACACTATTTTAAGATTTATTTAACAAAAATAAAGCCAAAATTGAGGAGCCATGTGTGGAAAAACTAAGTACACCCGTATGACCTAATCAAATGCCCTTGATCAACTGATCAACAACAAGTGTGACCACCTCTAAATGCCAACGTTTTAGCAGTTTTCTGGTCTGCAGCATTCAGGTATGTGTTAACACAAAGCCAAGTAGGGATGACATTAGCCATGATCTTAGAGAAACAATTGTTGTTGCTCAAACTGGGAAGAATTATAGGAAAGCAGTGGGAGGATATTGTGCATGTGCAGCAAAACACTGCACTGCGCCAATCCGCATCTCTATGGGAGCATGGAGAGACTGAATGTAGGTGCTGCACATTGTGCAGAACTGACCCAGGACCATCTAGTAGCAGTCTGAATGACTGTCACTAGAGGTGTTATTAGGCAGCAATGTAAACACTGCTTTTTCTCTGAAAAGGCAGTGTTTGCATTGAAAAGCCTGCAGGTATTGACTATAGACACCTGAACAACTACTTTAAGCTATATTGTCACTTTAAGAATTGTATTTTTGTCTTTTAGTTTAAAATAAAAATGGCTCCTTACTTTTTTCAGTTGGCTCTTGGATTCCAAACAAATTTGTCAAACCTTGGCTTAACCTAATCATTTAAGGCCATTTTTTTTTTTTATACAGAATATATAATACATGCATTTTCATTCCTGGAATATGTTACAACCCTTTTTAAAGTTCAAATATTTACATAAATGTCACATTACAAATGAATTTTACTGTTTAAACCCCTTAAGAACCAAACTTCTGGAATAAAAGGGAATCATGACATGTCACACATATCATGTGTCTTTAAGGGGTTAAAGGGACACTATAGTCACCAGAACAACTACAGCTTATTGAATTTGTTCTGGTGAGTAGAATCATTACCTTCAGGCTTTTTGCTGTAAACACGGTCTTTTAAGAGAAAATGCAGTGTTTTCATTACATCCTAGTGATGACTTAACTGGCCACTCCTCAGATAGCTGTTTGAGATCCTTCCTGGGTCATGGCTGCCTAAAATGCATCCATACATTTAGTATCTCCTCCCTCTGCATGCAGACACTGAACTTTCCTCATAGAGATTCATTGATTCAATTCATCTCTATGAGGAGATGCTGATTGGCCAGGGCTGTGTTCGAATCATGCTGGCTCTGCCCCTGATCTGCCTCTTTGTCAGTCTCCGCCAATCCTATGGGGAAGCATTGTGATTGGATCAAGCTACCACTTCTGCTGATGTCAGCAGACAGTGGGCAGGTCTAAAGGAAACCGGGACGTAGCCAGCAGCTCCAGACTTGATTACAAGTAAGATTTCTAGATGGTGGTTTTAACCCTATAGGGTCAGGAATACATGTTTGTGTTCCTGACCCTATAGTGCTCCTTTAAGGAATTTGGACCATATGTTGAAAGGCTGCTAGAAGAGATAAGAAACACAGCTGTATTGTGAATGGCTGCTTGGTGAATTCTAATGATCAGAATATATTCATCTGTGAATTTTCTGGCCACTGAGTGGAATATCACTAAAATATTTAAAATATTGATGCTCCACAATTTTAATTTTTTTAATACAAAAATGAATTTAAAGAAAACCACTCTAGCTTAATGAAGCAGTTTTGGAATCAAGGTCATGCCCCATGCAGCCTCACTGCTCTTCCATTAAGGTGTTACGTCACTTAGTGTATACATCCCTAGCCACACCTCCCTGCATATGACTTACACAGCTTTACTAAACACTTACTGTAAATAGTCATCTAATGTTTACACTTCCTTTATTGCAAATTCTGTTTAATTTAAAATTGCTTATCTCCTGCTCTGTTAATAGTTTGCGAGACCCTGCATGTGCCTCCTGTATGTAATTAAAGTTCATTTTACAGAAACGGAGATTAAAACTTTTAAAGTAAGTTACATCTGCAGGCTGTGTCAGTCACAACCAGGGGAAATGTGGCTAGGGCTACAGTAACAAAAGTGATTTAAACTTCTAAATGGCAGTTAATTGTGCAGTGAGACTGCAAGGGCATGATTTATACACACAACCTGCTTCATTGAGCTAAAGTTGCTTTGGTGACTATAGTGTCCCTTTAAATTCTGTGAGAAATGTAAACCGTTTACAATTGTATTGCAAATTAATAAAATTTCAAGTTGGAGCACAAAAAAGGGCATTTGAATTGAAACCTCACAATTCATGTAGTGTTAGCATCAGTAGCGCACAATATGCAAATGTAATTAATGTCTTATGGAACAAATCATGATGTAACCTCTACATTTTTTACTTTTGTTCTTTTAGGGTTTCATTCAGATGAAGAATTTATCTTTTGATGAAAAAGGAATTTTGATTTTGAATTGTGCAGCTTTTATTTGTTTTTGCTTTTCCCTTTCATTTTAAGGCACTTTTGATCTCTGAAATGCCGAGAGGAATAATCCGCCATTATAATGTAAAATGGAAAAACCTTCTGCTAATCATTCTGCTCATGGCTGCAACCCTAACTTTACTAAAACATAACCACAAATACGTGTTTTTCAATACTAGCAATAACTTGGAGCTGACTGACAATAACCCACAATTCCCTGTGAACTGCACGAAGATCTTAGGAGGCGATGTTGAGGAAATTCAGAATGCTAAACTACATTTGTTAACTGTTGATTACAGAAAACATCGACATGCGCTTACTGTGGAGGACTACATTAACATGACAAAAGACTGTAGTTTGTTTACCAAAGAACGAAAGTACATTCTTTATCCTCTCAGCAAAGAGGAGAGCGAGTTCCCTATTGCTTACTCAATTGTTGTTCACCACAGGATTGACATGTTTGAGAGGCTCTTGCGCTCCATATACATGCCACAGAATTATTATTGCATTCATGTTGACCAAAAAGCTTCAACATCATTTCTGGAGGCTGTTAAAGCAATTGCATTCTGTTTTGAAAATGTTTTTATTGCCAGTCAACTTGAGACAGTGGTTTACGCGTCATGGACTCGAGTGCAGGCTGACTTGAACTGCATGAAGGATCTACATGCGCTTAATGTACAGTGGAAGTTCTTAATAAATCTCTGCGGGTTGGACTTCCCAATTAAAACCAACCAGGAGATGGTGGAGATGTTAAAAGCTTTAAAGGGGGAGAACAACCTTGAAACAGAAAAAATGCCATCACACAAGGAAGTAAGGTGGAGGAAACGTCACGAGATTGTTGATGGATATGTTAAAAAAACTGACATTGATAAAACATTGCCACCATTTAATATTCCAATTTTTTCTGGTAGTGCTTACTTTGTTGTCACTAGAGCGTTTGTTAGCTACCTCTTGACAAATGAGAAAACTCAGTCTTTTCTAGAATGGTCTAAGGACACTTATAGTCCAGATGAATTTTTGTGGGCTACTTTACAAAGAATTTCAGAAGTGCCAGGTTCTGTTCCTGCCAATAGTAAATATGACGTTTCTGATATGAACTCTATCGCCAGGTTTGTAAAATGGAAATATTTGGAAGGGGATATGTCAAAGGGAGCTCCATATCCACCTTGTAGCGGGATTCATGTTCGTGCTGTTTGTGTGTTTGGTGCAGGAGACTTGCAGTTCATGCTGGGAAAACACCATTTATTTGCTAATAAATTTGATGTTGATGTCGACCCTACTGCCATTCAGTGCCTAGAGGAACATTTAAGATACAAAGCTTTGCATCCAGAAAGTGACATTTGAATTTGTGTTCCTTCAGAGTTCTTCATTCACTGTACTACAATTACTTTGTATCATGGCGTATAATACCAAGCATCTTACTCTGTGAGCTTTCAATGAGATGGTAATGATTATCCTTCCAACTATTTTTGTTTGTTTGATAACTAAGAGTGTAATGTCAACCTCTATTCAGAAGTATAGGAAACAATCGATTTCATGATGCTTGGCAACTCTCTCTATGCATATATGAAGTGGTAGTGATCTCTACAAGAAGGAAATTTGTTTCATTTTTCTTTTTCTGTATCATGGTCCACAAAAATACTGCATTGCCATTATCTATTTCATGGCTAAAATGGAGCACCAGAATAATTTATGAATATTGAATTCATACGCAGACTGTAATTGTAATTCTGAACACAAATGTAAAATGTAACAAATGATTTTTTAAATATTTTTTTTTTTTTTTTTATATAAATGGTTTTGTGTAAAAAAACAAACAAACAAAAAAAAAAAAAACCCTCCTCAACTGCGGTAAATAAGTGGGCTCTTATTAAAGCAGCTTTGTCTGCACTGCAGGCTGTCCAGTTGACAAGGGGTGGGCAGGGGTAGGTGATTTAAAATTGTCCCTTGCGGGCACCGCCATCTTGTTCTGCTGTATCCTCTTCAGCTCCTGGCATTTCGGCCAAAGTTAGCGCTGTACCCTCACATATGCAAGTACAGTACTGATTTCAATGGAGGACCCAACAAAACAGAGGAATCCTCCATAGACTTGTGACAGCTGAAGGAAAAGACAAGCTTGAGAAAAGATAAGACCACCTTTTGTTAAGCGTAGGAAAAATACGAAGACAAAGTAGTCCATACATTGTCTTGGTATATTTGGTGAGTATTTTATGAAGACTCTATTGTGAAAAATATTAATTTTGTCGAAGGTGGGGTGACAGTGCTGCTTTAAATTAGTACATAAACCAATAATCATTTCAATTCACTTGGCCTATTATGTTGGAAGATGCAAGATTATTTTAGGAGCATAGAAATGCACTAATTGCAGTCTAATAATAGAATTTTATCATTGAGAATTCTCTAGGATCTCATAAGGATTGCTGTATGCTAGATAGCGGAGTGAAAATGTTTATGAATTAGTGATGATTTACCTTAAGATGACAAATGTTTCCGGCTGGCTGGGTACTGTGTATAATGTAGTTCCCAAACCTTTTCAGTGCCAAGGCAATCTATTATATATTTGGGTTTAAAGGGGAGCTGCCCCTTCCACATTTTTTTTTTAACATTGTTTACCAATTCTCTATATGTATAATAAATGTGTTTAGTGAGGTCTGGAAAATAAAATGCACAATGCCATATTTAGTTCTATCCTGAAACTTAGCTCCTCCATATTGTCTCCATGTTGTTCATTGTTTTAAGCTCTGCGCTTGAACCTTTCAGTCAGTATAGAGAACGGTTTCAATATCTCCAGGACTGAACTGGATCGTGATGTCAATTACCACATCTTTACCATACATATAAAACAAAATGGAGTGCCACATGGAACAAAAGTAATTTTCAATGTTTTATTCAGTGGTGTAATATCCAGAAAATGTATGGTTCCCTTTAAAAAAAAAAAAAAAAAAAAAAACTTTGAGAGAATAGACCTGGGCTTAAAGATTGCTTTTATTATTGTAAAATAATAATGCTACACTGCCATATCAAGGAGGAAAAAACAGAACACTTTGTTCATGATGCATTGCCCTGATTGTTTAACAACATTAGTTGTTTATTACCATTGACAGTTGGGGTGCTTTATTACAATGAGTAAAATGTTTGTTTTGTCCTCACTGAAACTGTCACAGCACTTGTTTGGTGTCTATAATATAGATGTGTGCCTTCAGCTTATTAAAGGGGGGAAAAAAGCATTAAAGCCAAAAGATAAGTATAGCTGCACTTACAAGACAAGATATAGGTTAATGTGTAATGTGAATACAAACTGCCTTGACTTGGTATGGTCTACAGGTGACCGATACTTACAAGAGCCCTGTAAGTTGGATTTGACGAAATCACTCATTCGGTGTTCTGCATCATAAAATTGGGGTTGAACAAGCTGACAATGTTTGTACTTAAGTAATTGAAAACACTTTTTTTATATTTTCAAGTTTTTCAAATAATTTTTTTTAATCTTGAAATTATATATAATGCCTGTTTTCAAACACCATACTGTACTGTTGCCGAGTTCTTCTGTGCACTATTCTAAGTAATGCACAGTTTCCTTGAGTGTAGCTGCGATTTGAATCTGCCAACATTTTAATTCAGCCCTTTCCCAATTATGATGTTGCAGTATAATTCTGTCTCAATGGCTGGCTGAATTAAAGGCAAAAACTGCAAATAGCTGATACCCGGGAGTGTCACTCCCACTAATCACAGACTAGAACATGTCCTGGTACTGCCCCATTATTGAAGTAATCCTAGGAATATTTATTTTGTAATGTTAAAGTGGTGTATTCAGTCTCCTAAACAACTTCATTGGTATGGTTTTCCTTTTTAAATATGTAACTTGTTTTGTTTTATTTTTTTTTATTTTTTTTTATTTATTTTTTTTGGGGGGTGGGGGGTAGGGTTGGAGAGGGGGTTATATCAATGCCCAACATTAGTTTGGAATTGGTGGAATTTAAATCTGCAGTCTTGTAGCATACATGCCATGCATTCCTACATTTTTATTTATTTATTGTTTACTTAATTTGAGAATATGTCTCCTAGTTTCCATGCAATGGTATCTGGAAAATAAAAAGAATACATTTCTGTACCGTAACAAAGAGGGGCCAAAAAAAGTCTTAAAATTATGTGACCTGTTAACAATGAATGATATTTATTTACTTGGATGAAACCAAACCCTTTATTGATGGAAACAACTGCACTTTCCTTTAATCATGTATTTTCTATTCGTTCTATGTTAAATGTGTGGAAGGCAATGCTGGAGATCTTTCATTTATTCAGCAGACCTGTTTTAACACTAGAAAGTGCATTTTGCAGATTCTCACAATGTAAGGTACACTCTTGAACAAACTTGTGTTTAAAGAGTTAAACACCAACATCTGTTCTTCTAGACATGTCTGTTTACCAGGAATTGTATTTAAAATGTTATGATCCAATTTATTTTATTTTCATACCAAACTGGAATTTTATATATATGAAAGATAAACCTTAGGTGTAATTTAATGAGCTTTTTTTTTTTTTCTTTCTGCCAGGGAGGATGACGTAAATAAAGGTGGTTTGTTTCTTTGTTTGTTTTCTCATCTCAGGGCATTTTGCTATTATTTAAGTGCCTGTCTAAATTTGTATAGAGATCTAGGTTTTTGTTATTTTTGTACCGAATTACATCATGCCTCTATTTTTCTGACATGTTAAATCAATATTATATTTTCTATTTGTTTTGGAGAGCTTCAAATAAGATTATGATGTAAATAATTGTTGGTTTTTCCAAACTGAATAATAAAATGACTGTTTAACAAAACCTCACTGATTTCACTTTAATGATCTTAGTGACAATGTTTTAATCCTTTATATCTGTGTAACCACTTGTGATAGTCTCATTTCAAACTGAAACAGAAGGTAAGCTAAAAATGTTATATACGTGTGTAACAAAGTAAATATTCTAATATTTCAAAATTGTGAATTCTATTTCTGGAAAACGGGTAAAGAGAAGAAATGCCAGTTCTTGTGTAAAATGAGAGTATCACAAATTCAGTAAATAATCCTATTTGGGCTAGGTGTATACTGACCTCTAAAGTAGATTTAAAAACTTGAAACTGCTTTTAATTTTCTCTGCTCAGATTTCTGTATACTCTTACAACCATAGCCTGCTTTTGTAAACATAGCTTTGCAGTGGTTTAAGATATTACTCTCACATGCATCAATTTTAACCTACTGAGATACCTTAAAGTGACTGTTTCCCTCCTGGGGTTTTTGCATAAATTTTCACCCAGCAGCGCCTACTCTGCTCAAGACATTTTCATATCCCCTCTCTTGAATGTTTTGCCCATTGGTGCCTTCACCCCCCTTTAGTGTCTCTTGCATCCCTTTTATGTATTTCTTACTTCCCCGCCAGCCCCTTTGTGTCTTTCTTCCCCCACCCCTCTCTCTCTCTCTCTCTCTCTCTCTCTCACCTCTCCAGCCCCTATCTATCTTTCTCCCATATAGGCATAGATACAGGCAAAAATACATAAATGCACAAACATACAGACACACAACCATAAAGCATACAGATCTAGTTATTCAGGCACCAAGATACACAGAAATAGTCATAAAATGCACACGATCAAACAAACACAGTCATACAATCTACACATTCAGGTACACTCATACAAACACAGACATGCATTCATACAGGCACACAGATAAATACAGACACAGACATAAAGAGACATACAGATAGGCATATGCAGACAGTCATACAGAGACATACAGACAAGGCATACAGACTGCTCGGGATCTCGCTGTTCTGATCCGCCTCTCCGCTCCGAATGCGCATGCGCGGCAATAGCCGCCTGCGCATTCAATCCGCCCATAGGAAAGCATTAATCAATGCTTTCCTTTGGACGTCCAGCGTCTTCTCACTGTAATTTTCACAGTGAGAATCACGGAAGCGCCTCTAGCGGTTGTCAGTGAGACCGCTACTAGAGGCTGGATTAACCCTCAATGTAAACAGCAGTTTCTCTGAAACTATTTTCAGCTGCAGGGTTAAAACTAGAGGGACCTGGCACCCAGACCACTTCATTGAGCTGAAGTGGTCTGGGTGCCTATAGTGGTCCTTTAAGTGTATGTTTACTTGCATGCACTGGCGTACATACCACGGTTACGGGGTCGCAGCCCTGCGACCAGGTGCCCGCCACCATGTGTTGCGGTCCCCTGGCCCGCGCAGTGTAAGTGCCGGGTGGGGGGGGGGCACACGGATCAGTTTTTCGCACCGGGGGCTCATGGATCCTCTCTGCCTTCTCCTGATCTCGCAGCTCCAGTCTTCTTGGGGGGACATCACTTCC